TTGAAGGCCCACAGACCAGGAAGAAATTACAACTGATCGCATAAGTGCTCTGGCTTACAGACTAACAGCCGGGACACAGAGGCTTGGAGGGACTGCCACAATACACACATTTATCCTGCTATCTATCAAAATGCTGATGGCAATTGCTGAATGAGCCATCTGTTAACGAGGTGGGGAAGGAAAGTAGTCCTTTTTCCAGAAGGTTTGTTCTTGTTTCCCAGAGACTCAGTATTGTCAATAGAAAAGTCTAAAGGTAGATTTATCTTTTGGCTATAATTTAGAAACAGGGCCCAGACCTGCACTTTGCTGGAAGATGTCAAACTGCTCTCAGTCTGGTAGTCAGCATCTGTGAAAACCGGACCCTCATTTGAGGGAGCTGGTTTCCCCTCTCTGTTCCGATACTGAGAATTACAGTGTGAACTGCACACTTCATAATACAAAGCTCAAGGAGCAATAGACAGATTCAATCTGTACTTCTCCTGGGAAAGCAAACGCCAAAAAAGCCCCCCAAATTTTCAAAATCCCATATTTTAGAGAGGAAAAAGAGGAAATAGGAATTAGACTGGTCTTGTGCTTATGTATTCAAAACTCTTTCAAACTTAACTTCTACTAACCACTATATCTGAGTAAGGATTAATATCCCTGGTTTACATGTGGGAAGTTAAGTATAGAGCACTTTTAAGACATGACTTACACAGAGTGGTCACCCTCCCCCCCAGTTCCATCTGAAGTTAACAGCCACAGGTGCTGTGAAACAGCCCTTGGCATTGAAGAAATTTCTATCTTGTGACTTAAAGACAAATTAAAACCTTGGTGTTCTGGCTTCTTGGACAGATTCACCAGACATTGGATATTGCTGTATGAGCAACGTAAGTTTAATTTTTGACGTTTATTAATATTCTTTCCTGGGAAAGAAAAAGAGATCTTAAAAAGGGCATCAGTCATCCCACTACCAATATCTGTCTTTGGGCACTACCTGCAGTTCAGTGCTATTTGTTCCCATCTGTTATGCCTTCTGCTAATAAATGTTCTGTATCTGCAATAGTGGATGACTCCCTAGGCTTGGCTGTGACATGATTTGTTGGTAGTAAGATATAGGGGATTTTCGTTTTGCCTCTACCCTATCCTGTGCTTGATTAATACTGGTTTATGTAATACATGTTTTTAGCTCTGTAGTTTTCTCTTCCAGTTGGAGACAGCTCTGGATTTAAATGTTTTGCACAAACATCTTCATTAGAGAAGTGAGTATGTAATACTAAGAAATAAAGGAGGTAGTTTTCCATATTTTTAAAATTTCAGCAAGGCCCACGTGGTACCAGTACTGTAAGGCCTGAAGAGGAGGTAGTTCAACCTTAGAGGTTGTTTTTGGAGAAAACCTGCATGGCTAATAGCTCTCAAAGATGTTCAGCAGATGTCATCAAGGGAGTCTCTTCAGGGGAACCAGCATGTCCTTCCCTTGCATCCCTTAACATCTCCTGGCAGTGTGTAAGGACATTTACCCTTGTTCTCATTTCAACTGCTCAAGAGGATCCAAACAACAAGAGTTGCTGCCCTCCAGAGAGGATGAAGAGGGCTGCAGTACCTTGTAGTTCCTTGCAGATAGGCAGAACAAGCAGAGAAAGCTCACTGTCATGAAGTCTCACGCAAAAACTGGCTTGTGTTTAGAAATGCATAGAAATTTGCCCTGAATTTCACTCTTCTGTAGGTTGGATGGGCTTTTGCCCATGCCTAGTCAATCTGCTGTGGGTATATCCACAACCTAATGTTTGAAGAACTAAAAAGATATTAAGAAGCTGATACTGCTTCATTAGCAAGTGTCACCATTACTGGCTTTTTAAATTGCAGGATGGGTTGGTTTTTTGCAACGGAAGCTCGAAAATCAATGGCTTGATCTGTTCAGTTGTATCTGTAGCCTCCCAGGCCATGTCAGCCTCTAAGGACCTGTGGGAGAGGCTTTCACATCAGTTTGCTAACGGCCTGCAGCAGAATGATCAGCAGAGGCGCATGCCCTCGTAGGCTGTTACTTGAGCTGAATTTCTCTTAACATTTCTTTCTGCCTGCAGATGATCAGGTGGCTTGGAAAACTCTCTCTTCCAGTCTTTAGTGGCTTCTAGTTTTGTGTGCTGTTTTGAATTTGCCAGTAGTTTTTCAGCTGTAACTAATGAATTGCTCTGTGAGGTAGGTAGATCTGACAGCCCCTTTTCACCAAGGAGGCAGAGAGATTTGACTTGGTGAGGTCCATGCATTTGAAGAGCTGTGCCATTATGCTACGCCCAATAGTCACAAGTCTTAGTCCATCTCACCAAATCACCCTCCTTACATCTTCAAGGGGATTTTCTTCTGTGCTAACTGATGAAAAAATGTATGCAATAGTTTTTATAGGATTAGAATACACTTGTGTAAGGTGTTTACCAAGCGATTATTGAAACTCTTGTTAGAATCTAGAGAAAATTACTTTTTTCGGCTTTTTTTTTTATGCACATTTGGCTTCTTCATAGCCTTTGAAATGAAAGATGCATCCTCTGCTCTCTGTCAAACCTGGTGTCAGAAGGCTTTTTGTTAAGGAACGTGCCTTTTTATAGCTCAGTTGATCTCATTAGACAAATGATGTTTTGACTTTGGTTTGCCATACCACTGTTTGTATTGTATATAGCATATTATAACTGGATATTTGTCATATAATAAAGCCTTGAAGCACACAAAAAAGCAAATTAATTTTACCAGCTTGCACCATATCCCTAGTGTAAGGGGAAGAGATATTAGCCATGCTGTAGTCATCCTTGGAAGATGTCAAATAATTGACAACCCTTACTCTAGTGTAGAGAGACTGGATATGTGTGTAATTGAATCCATCACAAACACCACTCAATATAATTTATTTTGTGCAAAGGATGCCTTACCATGTTACACACTTGCCAATGCTAAGAGAATGAAAGTATAAACAGAGATGATAGGCCTGTTATTTCAGACACAGAAAGAATTCATGGATATTAAAGCAGAAGTTTTGAAAGAAACTTCTCTACATATACAAGATGACATATTGGTGCAGCATTGCTTTTAGGTGTTGGAGGCATATGTTAGTTTTCTGGTCAGAAGGCAACATCATACTCTGTCCAGATATCTATCTCTCAGGCTAACAAAACTACATTTATGAAACAAGATGACATCTATAAAAGGATCTAAAGTTTCAGTCCCCAAAGCTGCTCTGGATGAGCAGGTGCCCTCCCACCAGCCTTACTGGGACATTGCACAGGGGTCTGATCATACAGAGCCACTTTCAGGCTGGGAATCTAATTTCTCAGCTGCTCTTCATCTTATCTGTGACATCTGTGGAGGAGTTTATCAGTTTTTCTGTGGAAGGAGACATATTTATTTTACTTGTCTGGGTAGCAACAAAAGCATATAATACAAGGTGTTGTAGCAGGAGGCAAGCAATAATATTGCACCCTCAGGGTTATTTGTCAAGTGGGGAAAGGTGCCACCTAGCTGGCCTCTGCTTCAGCTTTTCTCTGCATGCTGACCTCCATTATGTTTCTCTTGGCAGAGTAGAACCTCACAGCTTACATCAGCAAGTTCATGATTATTTCTCCAGCAAAGAAGAGAGTCGCAGAAGCAGCATTTCGTAAGCAGGGAGAGCCTGTGAAAATTAAAAGTGTAGTCAACATTGTTAAATTTGATTATCTGCAGTTATACCCTCAACAGATAAGCTGAGATGCCTGGAGAGTTTCCCAATCAGGCTAGTTATGTGAGAGCCAGTGAATCATTGATTTAACATCTTATACAAAATTTCAGGGTATTCTGTGAACTCTTAGGCTGATAATGGAAGTGTCAGCTTCCAGAAATCAAAATATCTGTGTTGGCAACAGACATCTTAGTATGGGGAGTAAGAGTGTTGCACTAAAAAGGGTTAACAAACAAGCTGACAACATATTTTGCTATTGCAGCTGCTAATATTAGAAGTGATCCTCTTACAAACAGCATGTTTCCAGCAACGTGCAGAATACCTGTTTTATTTACAGCTGCACAAACAGAACTGTGAAAAATTGGAAATGGTTCTAGGAAGGAACCAGAGCACTGAACAGCCTGCCCTAATGAGACTTCAGAAGCTCTCAATTGATTTACTTTATCAAAGAGAAACTGAAGAAGTGATTTGATCAGTGCCTGCATGGGTCAAGATTTCAAATGCTCAGAGGGCTCTTTAATCTAACAGGAGGTATAATAAGATTCAGTGCCTGCAAGTCAAAGCTAAGCAAAAATCAAATTGCAATTAAGCGATGTTTAGACAGTGAGGGTAATTAACCATTGCCACAACTTTTGGGGTCAGAATGGAATCACCATCTCTTGAAATGTTTTAATTCCGATTATTTCTTGGAACTGTATTCCATCTTTGATACGGGTATGTGTTCCTATCAACAAAACGAGGACATATGACTAGAAATAAGATGTGCATATGAAGTATAATCCAAAAAAACCCTGATGCACGATTCGGTATGTTTAGTAGTTTCTAAGTATTAGAGTGAATTATTTCAAACATCTTTAAAAAATAATTTCTTTTCTTGATTTGCTGTTCTCACTGAAAGCTCATAAAAGACACGCATGCTTTAGAGGCACTGCCGAAACTTCAGTGAAAGTCTTGGCCAATTTGAGTCCTATAAACTCATCCTCATTTGCAAGGGAATGAGGGCATGTTTGTCAGAAAGGGACGGAGAGAAGGGACTATGGAAGATGGCTGTGACTTGCCTTTAGTGCAACAGTTAAAGCAGAAGCCTGACTTTGCTGAGGGGCTGGTATTTTTGTTGTCCTTTCCAGTATTAATGGTACGAAAAGGAATGAGATGTGGTTTATAGCTTCAACCTGCAGGAAAAGCAAAGCCTGTTTGCAAGCCCTCCAAAGATACTTCTGGTTGATTGTCCTAGTGAGAGATCAGTTTGCTGCTACCTCCCCTCCTATCTGCATTTTGAATTGTTCACAAAATTGCTGTAAACAGCACATCTTGAGAGAAGGTGTCATCCCTTGTGTGAGTGCCTCATTAACCATGCTTAAGTTCAGGCTCACAGTGTGATTAGACGGAGAAGGAACAATATGTTTCTTGCATCAGGCTTTATTAGCAGAACATATGAATGCTAGGCTTGCCTCATACGTAGCAATTTGTCTCCATAAAAGCCCCTCCACTCTTTCCTTGGCCCAGATAAAATGCTGGTGGGAATAACTGACAGCTGTCCTCAGCTGGTACAAGTGTCGGGCTTGGGTTTTCTTTCAGGTAGCGCAGAGGCCATTGAAGATGTGTTTGTCACGAATGTCCAGAGGAGGTGATCTGCTGCCTAGTTTCAGCTCTGTGTGTAATAGGGTTGAGAGTAGGATGACCCAGATTGTGTGACACTTCTTTTTTTTAAAGCAGAAACACTTGGCTGGGTGAAAGGCACACAAACGGTGTGATGCCATGGACCATGCTGCAAGAGCTGTTACTACAATCAGTGGGTTTTGTACCATTTTTTATCTGTCTGACCAAAGAGATGAGAAGCACAGTTGTCACTCTAAACTCAAAGGCCAGAGTCAGATCCCTCTTTACTGCAGAGCAGCTTCTTCTGGTTCCAGATTCATAATGTGGGTACCTACTTTGAGGGAAGTTATTCTGGAAAGGGGGGGGTTACTGCTTTCCTGGTTTTCACCTCTCCCTGTGATACTTCTTTCTGAGAGGAGAGCCAAGTATACCAGAATTAAAGGATCTGATGAAGAGAGAAATTAATAATTGCCTGCAAAGGAGGTGACTGGTCTGAGCTACATTTTACAAGTAGCCTGTGCTCTGCTTGTGCCCTTACCGTATTAGCACTAGAACCGCACATTAGTTTTAAGACTCCCTCTCAAATAGGGATATTGTAATGTTTTTTAATTGGGGCTGATAAAAATGTGGCATTACTTGCAGGCTCCTCGGAGAAGCCAATTGTGAAATTGGGTTTGTATTAAACCTAATGATGGAAAATTAAGCATAGTACGTCTGTTGGAAATGGTCCGCGATAAAAATCTTCTCCTCTCCATTACAGGAGGTTAATAGGGAATAGGGGAGGAAAGATGCACTGGGAAAGCGAATCCAACTATGGGAATTAATAAGCCTTGAAATTCCCTCTGTTCAGAGTTCTCGCACTGTCATTAGTTGGAGCATTAGGGATGTTTATACAAATGCTTTGGATGTTACTCTTCCTTAAATCCCAAATTTATTCACATTTTGTATGTAAGGGTTGCTTTGCTAGAGCTGTAGCTCTGTAAATCTCTGAGTGTCCTGGGAATGTGACTGTGTTCGTGTGAACCTGGGATTCAGAAATCCTTAAATTCAGTAGCCTAATCTTCAGAGCAGATGATCACTTTGTGCTAATTTATTTCAGAAGCAGCAGGATGTGTTCAGCATCTCTGGTAATTCAACCACCAGACTTATTTATCTCACCCTGGAGATCAGCTAGCCCTGCAGCAGTGTCCACTGCTGGCATTCCTTCTCATAGTCCTGCAACTTCAAAACAGAGCATATGCCTGTCTTGATATCTTCCCCCTAATATAACAGTAAACCAGCTAAAGCATTATGTGTCATGTTTTGTCATGTCGTTGTTTTGCCAGCTGCTGGGAAGGCAGTCTAATGCCCTCATCTGTCTGCTCCTACCCACCTTTGCAATGAGGGACGCGGCAGAGATCCTGACTTCTGCTGATCAAAACTCCATGGTGATTTCTCAAGGATAGTAACGTTTACAATAGCATTCTGGCCATATTTCTGCCTCACAAAAATCACCCTGAAATTGCAATTTGATTTATTTAGTCTTTATCCCTTCAAAAACATGACTGTGGTATTGCTGACAAGGGATAGTGTGTAGGCTCTTTGTCAGTAAGCTTTCTGTAAGAAACAAGCCTTGGTATGCAGTCCTAAGCAGGTTTTATGGACAATCTGTGGGAGATATGTTTTCTGTTTGCTAATAGGTTGGGTTTGGGTAAGACCAGAATGAATTGATGCAGACCGTTAAGGCCTGTATGTGCAAAAGGACCCGAGTATCTCAGATGCCTGTAAGCATAGGAAAAACCAATGGTTTATTTAGCCAACTATTTACCTTTGGTCAGTTCTGCTAGATAAGAAATGGAATTTTTCATTTAATCTGAGTTTCTGTTGTTAAAAATAAATATTGTGACAGTCAATTGTTTGGTTATTTAAGTTCTTTTCTATTAGTTCACCAGGAATATTTTGCTGTCTATATAGAGTTTTGCTGGGGATATGAGAGGTTACAATTCCATCTGCATAGTGACAGAGATTTTTTTTAATCCATTTCTTTCAAAAAGAACCTTTTTCTGTTACTTTTACATGTCTGAAATTTAGGTTTCTGCATGCAAGATAACTATATTTTTATACTGGTTTATTATTTCTGATAATAGTACATCTTTGTAATTGACATGTAAATTTTAGGCCTGAACTAGCCAAGCAGTTTAATTTGCCTCTAACATCCTGTGTGACTTATTTGAAATGCTAATAATTTGTTTCCTATTAACTTGGGCCCCTTTCAGTTATCTCATGCTGTACACCTCAAATCCCGCTTGAATATCTTGCTCATCTCTATGTATCTTTCAGTCACGTTCTTTGCAGGTTTGTGAAGAAAGGTATGTAATTCAACTGGAGTCATTACACAGAGCTCACCCTTACAAAATGTGCGATTTCACTCTATGTGCTGTACCCTTGTTAGCCTGATTGGCTATTTACTCTGTTCCTATCTCTTTGGGTTTGTCTCCTCAACACAAAAAAAATATTCAAGTGTGATTTAGTCTTTCTAGGCAGCTGTAGGCAAGTGTGTGTTTCCTACTTATTTTTTTACTTTCTTGTGCCTGCACCAGCCTACGGGGTGGTGGAGAAACAACTAAACAAACGGAGCAAGAATGAGAATGGCAATATCAGATAGGTGAAAGCTTGTTTTGCCTCCCTGTCTTTAAAACAGACAGTAACCATGGAGAGATGACCCAGCCGACCCTGACTATCCAGACCCACCCATACCGGAGCTGTGAGCCGGTGGAAATGTCCTACCCCCGGGGGCAGTTCCAGCCAGCCATCCGAGTGGCCGACCTGCTGCAGCACATCACCCAGATGAAGCGAGGACAGGGCTATGGATTTAAAGAGGAGTATGAGGTGAGAGGAACCTTCGCTCACAGAAATGAGTAGAGAAGTTGCACTCGCAAAGGCTAGATGCTTGGGAGGGGAGGAGAACTTTTTAAGAGCTTCTTTTCCTTAATTTACTTACCCTCTTAATCCTTTCCTTTCTCCATCTCATTTCTGTTTATGAGGGTAGGATTTTACAGCGCTAGCAATCCTTGGTGGTGCTCTAGTCCAAAGAAAAGGTGTTTACTACAGCAGTAAGATAATGACATTGTGCTCATCCGTTAGCATGTGCCCTCTCTCCCATAAAGAGCAGACAGTAAATATTTAACAGGTGCTGAACTCAGTGAAGGACTTGGAGTCCCATAGTCCCTTACTTCTTGATGTGCTTTTGCTGACAATAGTGCAAGCCAGGCTTTAAGAAATGGAAGGGTTTTCACTTGAGCTTTTGGGGAGCTCCAAATACTCTGGAATGATTGATCAAATTAAATCACAGCGTAATGACCTGAATGCAGAATTGTAAAAAGGCAAGGGCAGGAGCCTTGTGTACCATAAATGAAGGTGGAGTTTTCTGGTATGCTCAAACCTCTGGCTCAGAATATGTTCAACTGATCTACTCTTCCAACTCCATGTGAGGAGAGAAGCAAAGAGTAACCTGCAAAAATGAAAGCAGCCCTCCTCTCCCCACCTCTTCCCCTCAAGCTGGAATGACCAGGAATGTAATCCAAATGACAAGAAGAAACATGACACTGGGGAGGAGTTGGAAGAGGAATATACATTTAGAGCAGAGAGAACAGAAGAGGGAAATAGCATCAAACATATGTGAGACTTTGCTCTTGCAAGCGATAATTATAATGAATGTAGTAAGCTTGTGGGAAGGCAATAAGCAATTAATATGCATAGTGGCATTAAAGCTACTTAAAAATAACATAACAGCTGTGAAAAATAAGTTACTTAATGAAAACAGCTCACTTTTCCACCCTGCAAGTAAGAGTCCATGGGGTTTGTACCATTGAGGCTGGGTTTTGCTGTAATTGAGAGGCAATCTTTTCCTGGTTGTCACCAGGGAGTATTTTTTTAATCAGATGGCATCAAAGACTGTCACAACAAATGTTTCTGGTAACTGTATGTTAACCAGGTCTAGTCACTCATGCCCCACAATCAAGCACACTAATTAAACTATCAATACAAAGAGCTCTGTTTAATATTGAAAAAGGGTTTCAATAATTCTCTTGGGAGATTTACTTAGCCCCCCCTTGGCCTCCATTTCCATGAATAGTACCCACAACTACATTCCGCTCAATTACAGATGCCCTAAGATCTAGTTTTTGATGTTCAAGAAGAAAACAGGTGCTGGCATATATGTAATTTTCTGGCACTGGCATTGGTAATTATCAAAATAGCACATTAGCATGAAAAATGTCAATGCAACTTTCAGCTCCACAAGTTCTGCCTTTCCCAGAAAGTGCTATCCACATACGTATATAATAACGATGACATTATATAGATTTGCATAATTCCTTTCTTTACAAGAAATAGCTTGGAGAATGCCACATCTCTCAAATCACATGCGCTGTTCTACCCTTCAATCAGAGGTAATTGCCTGAAGTAGCAGTCATTTCCGATGGTGGAATTTGGGTTTTAGAGCATGGGACACCGGCAGTGCTTCAGCTCCAAAAAGCTTTCAGCCACCACCAGCAATACCACAAATGCGGGGAGGATGTCAAGGCGTGTTATAACTCCTGGGAGGTGGGAGGTTTACGTTGGCTAAGAGCGGTGTCTCAGACTGGAATCTGGAGGAACACAAAGCTGCAAAACTGGCTTTGCAAAAGGTTTTGCAGAATGGTTGATAAAATCATAAAAAAGAATTTGATGTCTCTTTTAAAATATGCTTTCATATACTACTATCAGTGTCACCTCCAAATATGGTTTTTCTTGTAAGGAGCTGATTTTCTACTTACTTTGCAAATTGATAGCATAAATTACAGCCTATTTAGTGACGTTACCAAATAATTTTACTCTCATGAAAAATCACTTTGAACAGAGTGTATCAGTCACACATGACAGTCTCTTATCTCTGTACATTCCCATCTCCACTGAGTAACCTGGAAATTGCCTTCCATATTTGTTTAAAGTATACCTTCACCTACAGACTATTGGAGCCTAGGCAGCATGTTTTACTGAGGGCATCTAGAAGAATATTTCTGGTGCTTGCATCTCGCATGTAACTCCACACTGAGATGAAAAGCAGGATGTGATTGTGTAAGCGGTGTCACTGCTGGTGTGAAGTGGATGATAACTGTTTGTGCTGTTTGTGTGTGTGTATGTGTGAACGTGGGAATCTGTCAGCACTTGCCGTGTGTGTGTTATTTTGGGTCTGCCTGCGGCACCTGAGGCCAAAGTGTGACTTGGGCCTTTTTAGCTGCTGCTTCTGTTTAGCAATAAAACATGTAGACCACAAGAGAAAAATATATCACTGGCACTGGATGTAGATAGCCCTATTTGGGATTAGGCATAGCTGTAAACACTTAAATGGGACATGTTTAAATGTCACCTGTTCCTTTTTTAGAACATATCGGCCCTGATTTGTTGTGAGCTGTGGGACTAGTCCCACAGACTTACTGCGAGCACCAATTACTGGCTACGGAGATAATAAGCTTAAGCATCCAAACTAATTTTCTGTTACGATTTAGGATGTCACTAAAGTACATTCTCCTGCTGCATTACTGAGACCATTTAGTTATTTTGGATTTTGTGGCTCCTTCCTCAAGCATCTTAGTATTGCGAGTCATCAGCTTATTGAAGTTACATCTGGATTTTAACATTTTCATTTCTCGTTGGCTACACGTCTTCTGTCTGGTCAAAAGAAAAGATCCTGAGGTTCAGGCTATGATGTGACATTGCAAAATATTTGGCAGCAGGGTGTTAGTTTAGAAGCTGTCCTTGGACAATGCTGTCCTAAGGCTTTGCTACGAACTGGAATGGGGAACTGAACTGGCTGAAATATTTCTTTTCAGGTTATAATTTTTTGCCCAAAGCAGTTTTTAACCCAGGGTCACAGCAGCGTCGTGGGAACAGTTTTGCCACCGCTGTTGAGAAGATAGTGACTGCAGGGAGAGGGCCAGGTCCCTGTGGCATGCTTTGAGATGAGCAGCAAGGCTTTTAATTGATATCGTTGCCTTTGGCAGCAATACTGCAGCATTGGGGTAGATCAGTGCAGATGAATGATTCAAGTTTTCGTATTTAAATTAAAAACAAACAGCGAACTAACTAAATGCATCCATTGGAAATTTAAATTGGCTTGCAATAAGCCTCAATTTAATGTGAACACTTTAGTTACGTTTGGGCCGTGGTGCTTAGAAAGCTTGATTGAGATGAAGCTGACTTAGAGATCTGTCCTTGTAATTTCAGATAAAAATTAGATCAATTTAGTTTAAAAAGCTTTTGTGTAACATAAATTCCACTGCTGGGAAGATATTTTAGTATAAATTTTACAAAAATTCTCTAAAAGAAGAAAAGCCTAAAAATCAAGTCCAGATTTTTCAAAAGTGAAATTTTGCTGTTAACAAATCAAAGAAAGAAGGGGGAGCATTTCCTGTGAAATGCGGATCAAATATCAACACCTGAATGATCTTCCCTGACTTACCATTGCTGATAATGCAGAGCAAAACAGAAAGATTAACCCTTTTTGCTATTATAGCAATACTTATTGTACAAACAAAAGCTGAAGCAACAAAATATTAGGTATGTTCCTCTTTTTCTGGATGCAACCAAATTATAACTGATATTTTTGTCTTTGTATTTCTAATGCAGTTTCAATTCTTGGTGCTGCATTTTTAGCGATCCCACAGAAAAATTATTTGCACTGTACCACCCATGTACATGCAGTTACTCCAATTTGTTCATCTGGTGTGTATACGAGTAGGGGTATAAGGTACACCTATGCAAAGGCAGTTTGTGTTCCTCACCAACCAGAGCTGTGCTTCCTTTCTTCAGAGATGGATAGTTCTGTGAAAAGCAGAGATTTTTTGGTATTGAATCAAATGAAAAATCCTGGACTCTTAAATATTTGGAGGCTATATCAGGCAAATATAAAACTATCAATTTCAATGGAGAATTTCACGTTCAGATCACATGAAAGGATAGGGTTTGTTGAAAAGGTATTTATTGGACCTGAACATATTTTCTTTGGCCAAGATAGCTTCTCCCATGTGAAAGTCATGAGAAAGGATTTTCTTTTTTTTCTTTTCAGATGGCTATGATTAGATGTCTAATGACTGTTGCTATTCTCTGGTCAATCTGCTGTAATTTGATATTAGTGGAAAAATAAGACACCTTTTTCGTTAGTCTTTGAAGATGAAAATGAACCTTCCTCACCTCTTTTCTTTTTTTGGGGATTGTTTTGCTGTGTGGGGGTTTGTTGGTTAGGGTTTTTTTGCTCAGAAGATGAGCTGTTATTTGGAAACAGCTGTCTGTAAAGGAAATATATGTGTGATCAAAGCCTTCACCAATTACAGAGTTATTACTCTTTCTCCTGGGCTTTTGAATAGGAACTCACTGTCCCTGTCTTTTGTCAGCAATGCTCATGGCAGTGCTGCAGTGCCTGACATTTTCTGTCCTGGAACCCCTTTGGGGGAAATTCACAACGATCTGGTCTGCCAGGGGTTTGCTTGTATTAAGTTTAATTGTAATGTCAGTGTAGTAGATCCTAATAATTGTGTCTCTCTGCTATTGCATTCAGGCACTGTAATAGACCTAGATGGCTTGTGAAGATGAATAGAAATTCATTTTCTAGCACAGCTGTGTCAAACTACCCACTGCTAGCTAAGACAGATACAATTCTACAATGACTGCGATATAAACCCCCCATAATTCTCTAGGGACCATAAACAATACAATTTATAATGTTGCTGTTGTTTTAAGTAATGTAGGATCATGTTAGGGAGTAGATCTTGGAGGATGCAGATCTGTAGAGGCAATTCAGTGCAAGCTGTTCTCCTCACCTGTGTTTTTGGCACAAGTCAAGGCTGGGCTGGCTGCAGCCGACAGCAGCGGTTTGCAGGTCGTGGCTTTCCATCCAGTCGTGATGCTGGCGATACCCAGGGAGCTGGTGCCATTGCTGTTCCAGCAGAAAGCACTGCTGTGCCTGCTGCTTTGATCTGCCCGTGCTGACATCCCCGACCATCCTGAGACAGGGAGAGGGATCATCCTGCTTACAGGCATCGGGGCCATCTTCCAAGGAAAGCAAGACCATCCTCCAAGCCAGATCCTGTGACGACTGCTGTTTTCCTGACTCTGCCTTGAAAATCCTCCCTGGACGTGTCTCAAGGGGAAGGTGGCTCATTTGAGTGTGTTCAAATTAGTTGTAGGCCCAAGCTGTAGGGTAGGGTAGGTTAGCACCATGTGCTGCCAGTTTCCTTACCCCATCCGTTCTCAACTAAAAGAGCAGATTTTAGGAAAATAACTACTTATTTTCATACTTCATGAGCAAGTTTTACCTCCTTTTGCCTCTCTTGCTTACACATGATCTAAAACCCTGGCTTTTTTATTTTTCCCCAAAGAAAACCAGCTAGTGGTTTGTATTGCATCACTCCATTATTAGTATAGAAATAGGTGAAACCACTGTATCTGTTTTCAACTTAGATATGAAGGACTGAGCACTATGCTTCAACCATCTGGGTTTTCTTAGAAGTGTATGAATGTGAAATCTCCACAGACCATGTTCTACAGGGGAAATGAGGTTAACCTGTGACTGTGCAACCAGAAACAAATTGCTCTGATCCTTTTAGATCTGAAGTAGCAGGAGAAAAATGATTCTTCACTGGCAGAAGCCAAGAGATGCAAATGGTCTGCACGAAGCTCTGCTTTTTGAATTAGTGGATGCGCCCTTTCCTCAGGAACAGCTGTTTGCTTGGTTGACTACTGAATTATGCAGCGCCTTTATTTTCACCCTGCTCAGTCATCTTAATCCACCTGAAGGCATTGGCCAGATTTTTATAAACACTCCGCTATTGTTTATTTTGCAGGCACTACCTGAGGGGCAGACAGCATCCTGGGATACAGCCAAGGAAGACGAAAACCGCAATAAGAACAGATATGGAAACATAATCTCCTGTAGGTGTAAATTCACATTAAACTGAGCTTTCTGTAAGATTTTATATGCATCCTGTGGAAAAGGGTGTGTTTCAGAATATCACTAAAAGCTGGTTTACAGTGCTGAGCATTCAGTAGTTCGATCTGTTTGTTACAGGCTATGTTTCTATGATTTTATTTTTTCACTGTTTTAAATAAAGTCATGGCATGACTTTACAGATTTTACATATTTTCCATCTGCCTTGCTTTGTGCTTAATGTTTGTGATTTAAGGGCTAAAACCTTTTGTCAGATTTTGCCAGTGGGTGATGATGCCTATTTCCTGTCCATCTTTACTACATAACCTGGAACTTTCACTGCCACAAATGGGAGCAGAAAAGGAGATGCTTTTTAGATATGGATCAGAGATCAGATTTTCTCCTTCCCTTGTGGTCAGTAACCAGTGGAACAGTCGCTGCTTGTCCCCAGAGAGCTGATTTGATGTGCAAGACAAGTACAGCTTCTGCCTCAGAATCACAGTAAGGCAGCTGAAAAGGCACTAAAGCTTTTTAGTTTTACTTCTTTCAATAGCCAGTTACTGTTGATGTTATAGGAATATTGATACACTGCAGAACTGCAGGGCAGTGAAGAACTCCATAAAACCATTTAGGTCAGCTTTATTCTCCAAGTCAGGACTAGATTGACCTCTGTCATTTTTATCAGATATTTGTGAAGCCTCTTCCTAATGATCTCCAAAGTTTAGCTTTCCACAAGGTCTTCAGGCAGCTTACCCCAGTGTTTCATTATTCCTTATGATGACTGGGGAGAGGAGGTGAGGTGAGAAATAATTCTTTTTAAGGGCTTTTGAGCAGCATCAAGTTGAAGAAGCCAGGCCTGAGACCATCAGAACAAGGAATAAGAAAATAAATGAACGTGCCATCAATTTTCATGACTGGATAAATCTATAGAATGCTATAAGAACAAAATTAAGTCACGCTGAGTGATGTATTTAGTACTGTATTTTTTCTTACGTTAAATATGTATTTCCCGTAGAACAAACAGATTTTACTAAAGAATTAAAAGAAAACCCTTGGCCACAAAGGAAAATCATCTCACACGTAACTACTCCTCTCTTTCTTTTAAGACTTGAAAGAAATTATTCATATAACAGTTTTGGGGGAATGGCATAGAACAGCTCAGTTCAGGGACCCCATGGTAAAGATGAAGAAATCTGGAAACAGACGATCAGAAGGTTGTGAGCCCTGATCTGATCCCAGTTCTGCTGCTGGCTTTCTGCATTGGTTGTGAGCAGGTCACCAGTTCCATCAGTCTTTGTTTCTCCATGTGGAAAATGGAAGTGATAGTACCAGAGTATTACAGTTAGCGTGAAAATCGTCTCCCTTAACTTCAGCTGCCTAAAAGCTCCACCTCACTGTAAGTTTCCTGTGTTCCTAGTGGCAAAGAGAGATAGCTCCAGACAGAGATTCAGTTTACCTGTCTATATGATTAGCTTGGATTAAATTAGTCTAAGACAGATGAATCATCCAACTATAACAACTACATACTGGATTGAAGATGAAAGTGCCATAGTATAAGGAAGGAAACATGAAAGACTCTCTGTTTCTCCATATGATTTTGAGGAAGCAGTTAACATGATGTGAAAGTGGAGGTGAAAAGAGACAAGACTGTGTGCAATAGCCACCATCTAATTTATGTTGAAGGTGGTCACACAGAAAACATTGAACTCCAAGTGAAATGTGAGAAGAAATTAAGGAAGCAAAATCAAGGAAGATAAATGGGGTATTATCTAAAGGGAGGGTGTTCACAAAGATGAATTGTTGTCTAATGAAGAGTGATGTTAGCCTTTTACCTATAAATATAAATACAGTAGCAATACAGATAGGAGGTGATGCACCTGAATAAGGGAATGCAAAATGTACTTAAAGTTAAGGAAGAAGTATCTGCACGGTATAAAACATCTGAAAAGAAGCTCAAGTTTGAGGGCTGTTGGGAAAGATTTCAGAATGAGGTTGAGAGGGTGGAAAGGCATAGATAAAGAAAGCAAGGTAGTGAAAGAGAGGAAGGATGCAGAAGAGCTGAAATAAATAACAAAGCTGAGTGGGTTTTCTTCACTTCAAATATATATCAGAACAAAGAGTTTGAGGAGGAGACAACAGGTCTTCTAAAAGACAGCAGGGAGAATTTAGTAATGTGCAATAAAGAGTGATAAAATGGAGTGAAATCCTTGCTTTACTTTGAAGAGGCTAGGGAGAAGGAAGGGAGGATGCCTAAGGAAGGCGCATATCATTCATCAGACATTTTGTAAAACCATTTGGAAATTATCAGTGGTGTCACTGGCTAAGCCTTGAGCCAGACCCTACTGATGGGTGATGTTGGACAACTTTCCTGAGTAAAGGCAGTGACAGGATCCAGAATAAAGAATTGATAGCAGAGCTGAGAATAGCAGGAGAGTAGTTCCCTCTGGCAGATTCTGAAAACGAATTGTGCTCAGTGGGTACAAACTGTGCAAAAGCCCGAGCAGAGGAGGGGAGGTGGAAAACAATTACACCCTTAGCTGCTTTGTTGTACTAGAATTGTAATTGTGGGTAAAACTCTGAGCATGCACCAATTGCTCCTACCAGTTTGTTTGGTAAAAGGCTGCAGATGGCAATTAACATTATTTATTTAACCACAGTTACCATTTCATCACTCCTGGAACAAGATATCCCATGCCTTTTGGGGAGTGAATTGAAAAGTCAGGTTTTGATCTAACTTTTGTAACTGCATCCAAGACTTTTGTTAAAATGTGGGTTTGTAAGCTCTTGCAATAAGTAGCATTGCTCAGTGAATCACAGCAGATTATATCTTGTCTTTATGGCCTTCTGGGTAATAGTACACTTACAGGACTGTTTTATGTGGCTCACTGCTTTCCCAGGGCTGTTTTAACATCATGCCTCTCTATGAAAACCTAGATCTTACTGCCAGCCCCATCATCTGCTGTTCTTACATTTGCAAACCAAAACTGCAGATGAGGCTAAGTCCGTTCATGGAGAGGAGATGCAAGAGAGCTCTAAGCTCTCTCATGCTTTAAACCCCAGCTTTTCAGGGTTCCCTTCAGTCTGCAACACCGGTATGTTTTTTGGAGACAAGGAAAAGCTGAGGAGTGGATTTGGTGTCTGTATGACTACAGAAATCCACTGTTGTTGGTGGAAAGATGCACTGTGATTGCACAGATTTGCCATGCTGGAGGGAGCTGCCCTACTTGAACTTTTTGTTATATTGTCAGTGTCTACAAGGTTTGTTCCTGCGCTTTGGGTATAAAAGCTGTAAACACAAAGACAGTTGTGGAGATGCAGGATTTTTCTTTCAGGGGCAAGGGTAGGTAGGGGATCCATTTATGTGCTGAATCAAAGTGATTTAAATTTGCTTTAGGGCCTAGATATTGAGGCCTTCAAAGTGCATCAGCAAGTGGTTGTTAGGGGAGGGATGTTGAGCTTTTGTGGGTTGAGCTGAACCCATTCCAAAGAAGAGAAAACATCCAGAAGCTATATGGGACCTTTGGTTCTATTCTGTTTCTCCCCATCTTCTCCAAATTTAGAGTCATTACATATAAGAGAGTGAAAACTCTCAGATTGGAGCTGAGAAAATGAAGACATCAGCTTGTGTTTTGCTTCAACTTACAGGAGAGCACTTTCTTTCCCTTCTTTCCTTTTCTTTTCTCCCTTTTCTGAGCATAATATTACAGGACGAGGTCAGCACTCACAGGGGTGCTATCTTCCAAGCATTTTTATTCCATGGTTTCTTCTGTAGTGCCTAAAGTCTTGCTTGTCTGTGCAATGTCCATGGTATGTGATCCTGAGAGGATGGGATATATCACACCTTGCTATTACCCAGTTCTCAAGGCACAGTCCAGGATCAGTGGGGATAGAAAGGGGAGGACAGTGTGTCCTTGAGCAGGCAAATCATCATTTCGTACCAGAACTGGGTTGAATCATTTCAAAAGATGGCTGTATTTCTCCATTGACTATGTGGGGAACCTTGACAGCCAGTTTAGACTAGCTGCCTAATGTTTAGATGGTGAAAGTTGTGTGAGATTAATCCAGTGCTGGTATCAAAATGAGATGTGGAAAAATTGCAATGATATTTCAAATGATCACTAATGGGAATTTTGACAGAAGTTTGAAACGATAACATTTGTGTGCTAAAATGGGAACACAATGCTTTTCAGTGAAATTCTTGTCATTTTTGAAATCTGTTTTAAGACCAATTTTCAGTCAAAGTACTTTTCATACAAATTTAGAGTTCTGCTAACTTGCATACAGACTATAGTAAACAGGGAGAAATAAAATCATACATTTGTTAAAGTATATTTCCATTTTTTGCAGTCCTGACTGCTACAGACATGCAAGTTTTCTTCTGTTTCTCCCTCCATTTTTAAAGTTTCTTATAATCCATTTGTAACACATGGTTATATGATGTCTGATAAATTTACAGAAGAGTTGAGCGACGCTTTCATTTTGGTATGCCAAATGTGTAGTCTCCTTAGCTAGTGTAGTCCAGTGGATAGGGTGCAGAATTAGAAATAAATTTTAACCATTGTGAGAAGATATAATGAAGACATTTGCTGTTCTTTAAAAAGCCCTTTGAAGTCTGTAGACAAAAAAACCTAAGTACAGGATTGTTACTGCTAAGAGCATAATAAGTTGCATCGGGTTTTGCAACCTTCTCCGTTAAAAAAAAAAAAACAACCAAAAAACCAAAACCAAATTCCAAAGTTTTGTGGAAAAGAAGGGATTTTCAAGGTAAATTATTTCATGAACTTTTATCCAGACTGTGCTCCTAAACTTATGAACAAGATTAAAGACACCATTAAGATATCATTAGTATTTTGTGTGCTTAGCATATACACAGATTTTTTTTCTGCCGCACTGTTCACACTTATAAGAGAAATAAATCTCCCACAGGAATTAATCTCATTTTTGTAAAATATGCAATGAAATATTTTGAATTCTGACTTCCTGAAGCAAAGTTCAGCTAAAAGTATTTTTCATTTGGCCCCCGAATATAATTGGACCTAAATCTGAATGTCTCCTTTTTTAAAATTTAATTAATTTCCAATGATAATTTCTTCTTCCTTTACTGTTTTTCACATATAGAATAGCCACATTTGGATTAAAGGGGAAAAAAACCAACAACCCACAACACTTTTTACAGCTACAGAGCATCTTTTCCTCCATAATTGTCTTACATGCATAGGCCTCTTCTGCAGCCTGCTTCTCAGGTCTTTCACATCCAGCTCCCTCAGGAGGTATTCATCCTGTCTAAGTTTTTAACTAAAGAGTGGCTCAAAGACCTGAAACTTAATTTTGGGGTTTGGTTCTATTAAATGAAGAGAGGCAGGTTCTTCCTTGAGGCCTATTCAGAGCACTTCAGCTACACACCATGCGTAGACACTGTCTTTGTCCCACTTAAAAAATCAACCTGAGATTCTTTTCACTTGTCATTAGGGTCATTTTTGGTGTCATCACTTTTTAGTTCTATTGTTGCAAAAGTTAAGACTTCCATAACGTTATTATATCGTGGCATCACAAGAGGAGTTAGTAAATGTTCCCCTCCCAGCCATTAGCTGTAGGGTTTGTTTTCATTGCTTTTGTTCTGTGTGATTCTTAACTAGCTTAGTTTGCTGCCTTGAATTGCAAGTGTGAAATTGTCTACAGGAGATTTTGTGTATTTCATCTAGATGTCCAGTTCAATCAGCTCTTTGTCTGTCTTTGTGAATTGCTCTAAGTATAAATTCTTTTGTTGTCTGTCTAACCACATGATTTACTGCAACTCCTAGTGCAGTTGCCTTGAGCGCGGGTAATTGTCTAGAGTTGGGAACAACATCAGCACTCTGAGAAATATACCTACTTCCACTGTGTCTACGAAGGTTGTATTTATTAATACAAATATAACAGAGCTTTGGATGGATTCACCTGTGTAACCTTTTTTGAATGCAAATATGGGATTTGATAAATACAGCGATGTGGCTGTATTTTTGGGGTGTGAAAATGTCACCCAAAGAATGAACAGTGTATGAGAAACATTGCTTTACATAACTGAATGAATATTTAATATACACCCAAATCTCGGTTTTCAGAACTGCATGCATGTCTCTCTTCACAATTGTTATCTGATTCTACGTTTAATTAAGTGATGACTAAAACCCTTTTTGACTAAGTTACTGCAGAATCACACCTCATATTTTTATGTTTCATTGCTATGATTCTTTTTAATTGAATGTAAATCATGCTTAGGCCTGTATTTTGCAAAGTGCTTCTAAACTTTAATGCTCTACTGACTGAGAACTAGGGTCTACAGAGCTGGTAGAGAGGAAATAAACTTAGTGGACTTTGTATTATACTTCTTTAGAAATCCTTTAAAAATGAGCCCAGCATGCCCAGCAGTGACCTCTGTAACCCAGTAGCTTTTGCCAAGCAACTGGCCCTCAGATAGTGTTTCTGCAATTAATTGCATACCAGTGCTGGGATTGCCAGACCAAATCAGCTCAACAGCCCAGCAAACAGAGTATCTCCTGTGACAGAGCCCAGCACCAGCTGTTCCAGAGAAAGATCAAAATATTCCCTTGGTGGAAAATCATGACATAATCTGCCCGCTGGGGTAGTTCCTTTCTGCATCTGAACTGTAGAGCATACTGGGAGATGAAAAGATTGATATCTGTTATTTCATTGCCTTATCTAAAGTAACTTTGAAGTCCTCAAAAACATGAACATTGCTATTTTTTTTTAACACTGCCTTTATGCCATTCTGTTGCCATGAGTTCTGTGGGTTGCATAAAGGAACATTGCTCTGATTTCCTTTGGTATTTCTTTCAGGTTTCCGGGTTGCCCCATTTCTTATTTGCAGGATTTCATTTGCCATTTTACCTTCCTTAATCTTTTATACCTCTTTTGTGACCTATTTATTTTTATCCCGATCTTGACAGTTTTAGCTCTTGCCTCAGTTTCCACAGATCAGATGCAGGCAGGCAGGCTGTTACTTCCAGGCATGAAGATGGCTTTTGTAATGGAGATACATCCTGCAAAGATCTGTCCTAAGACCCCCTAACCAAGCAACATTTCTGGTCTGCGTAAAAGCTCAATAAGGTTTATGGTGATAGCAGTGAATTTAACGAACACAGAGTACAAATGAACGCTAACCTAAGGATCTAAATGTTACAACTTAAACACAAAAGAAAGGGCTTGTAGGAACAGGAATATCTCTGATGTTCTTTCATTTTTTATTATTGTAAGTATTCAGTTATCCACCTGCAGGAATCAGCGGATAAAATGAAGCATTTACAAAGTCCTCTTTATCGTTACTGTCACTTTTTTTTCTTCCCTTCTTTCAGATGATCATTCAAGAGTGAGATTGCAACTGCTGGATGGGGACCCTCACTCCGACTACATAAACGCCAATTACATAGATGTAAGGCTCCTGGACATTCCCACTATGACAAAAACACTCCTCCTGACAATCTGCTTATGAATTTGGTGCATCTTACATAGGGACAGACTGTTGATCTGATATGAATGACAGCTGAACATTACACAAACACTGTGTTGTGACAGGGAGAAGGTTCTCAGGCTCTGGTTTATTCTGTCTGACCAGTCTGGACAGATGGAGGTTTCCTATGTTTGACAGATCCACCAACGTAAGTGGAATGTGGGCTAAATGCCGTATGCAGAAATCAGTATCAGCCTTTCACAATAGCATTAGTAGATACATAAGACTTATTGACTTCTTATAAAGTTGCAGTGCAGAAGGCATGTAAATAGATTGACTTATTTTTTTTAGTTTTATAAAATAAGATTCAAAAAGCAGCCTTCCTCACACACACAGAATGATCAAATGAACATGTGTTTCTTGTATGCAACTCCTAATTTGTAGGAACATGACAACGTTCAGAGGAGTTTCTTTAAGGGATTAAAAATACACCTAATAAAGTTACATGAGACTGATATGCAGCATTTTCATGCAGAGGCAAATGCACACCTTCTTTTTCAAACCAGAAGGTGCAACTTTTTGCCTATTAGTTTTCAGAGTTGCCCGCACGTTAGTCACAGGGCTCATGTTTCTTTGAGGAAATAGTGAAAACTGCCCCATTCCTGTTTTCTCTTTGGCATAATAAGATCTTATTATTCAGCCTGAGCCAGATACCATCGCTTAAAATATCATAGGGCAACCTAGTTGCCTATCTTCACTCATTCGATAACCAGTGTTAGTACACTGCTAAGTGTGCAGTTGTTGGTACCTGGGAAGTATAAAATACATGGTGTGCTTTGTCTGAGCTGTGATCTCACAGACTATCACATATTTTCTTTTTTTCCAGGGCTACCACCGGCCTCGCCATTACATTGCAACTCAAGGCAAGTTCATTCTTGTATGTCTAAATATTTGTAAAACCACTGCCGTTTTAGGCTGTTGTAAGAGCTATTTATAGGGTGACATCTTCTATTCTGGGGAATGTCTGAAAACTTGGTATAGGGGTGCAAAAGGGAAGGATATAGCATGTTCTAAGACCTTCAAGGCACTCAATGCAAAACCTCAGCTACAGGAATAAAAAATGCTACAGACTTAGAGGTGGCAGTACAATCTATAATGTGTCCTTTGTGCATGAAGTATGAGATTAGAACTAAAAAGGACTTTACGGAGCTTGGGTTTACCTTCTGGAGTGAAATTGCTTGGGGAGAGCAGGATGAATAAGCTGGTGACTGATGAACTTTTGGTTAGTGGGAACTAGTAGGAAATGCATTTGAACACCACCTTGTGTAAGTTAGTTGATGAGTTTCGTATGCCTTTAGGGAAAAAAAAAAAAAAAAGAAAAAACCGACACAATTCAATGCTGAGGGCTATCCATGTTAGATGACAAACCTCCCTAATCCTGTTCTTTACAACAGGGTGCTGTTTTCCTGCACCACTGGCCAAACTCTTATGCCATGACCACTTCGTCTGCCATTATTTGTCCTCATTTTTGTGCATTCAGTACCTGCAAATGTGATGTTCGCAGAGTCTTAAATTCTGCTTTATGACTTCATTGCTGGCTTGTCCCTATTGAAAGAGCAAAGAAACATATTAAAATAAAACTGGCATTTGAGCATGTACGGGTATACGGAATGCAGCAAGGCAGAGAACATGGAGGATGGAGTATGGGCAGAGTGGGCGAAAGGAGTCCATAGGAGGATTTCATCTACAGTGTAGAACAGAGGAAGAAAACAAGGTCAGAGAGACGCTCTAGTCTAATAAACCTCTTGTGAGTACTGGCTGTCTGGCTGTTGGAACCTGAAATTTTTCACTCTGTGGGAACATCAGAAAAGGGCTAATTTCTGCATGTTTTCTTCCTTCTTCATAATTAATAAATATTAAAATGTGAAATGGAGGAACTTTAGTGCTGCATCAGGTACAAATTTCAATACAGCCTTAATTACAGACTCACTATAGGGTGCATCCATGTCCCACCATTTGCACATGATTACCTGCTGGAACTATCTCCACTATTTACGATACAGGCATCATGTCTCTTTCCAGGGAGCTAGAACCTTAAATACCAGCTGTGAGGAAGGATGAGGTGTCTGATCTCTCCAGGCTGTTCTGTGTCTCTAACCCCAAATAGCAGAGGATTGCTCTGAAAGGGAGAGTAGGATTCTGTGGGACCAGGGCAATGGCTGGGGAACAGCTGAAAAGAGTTGGTGGTATTCGATACACTCTCTTAAGATGTTCTTTTGTCTTTTCTCCTGCCCCAGGGCCAATGCAAGAGACAGTGAAGGATTTCTGGAGAATGATTTGGCAAGAAAACTCTGCAAGTGTTGTCATGGTCACCAACTTGGTGGAAGTGGGCAGGGTAAGGGTACCACTTTCCCAACATATAAAGCCAAACCAGCGCTGGGTATAACACAGTGCTGCTATTCAGGCAAGCTCAGCAAGTGAAATGCCTTTTGCTTACTGTAGTAAGGGAAAGAATTAAGCCACTCTGGCTTTTTTTCTAAAATGCTAGATCTTGTAATACTTAGCTGCTTCCCTTCTAGACTGAAAAGGATCATGTTCCTGGTGTAAGTCTCAGCTTTAGCAGAGTTATACAAATTTATGCTAACTGAGAAACTGTCTCCTTTTTCAGTACAGAAGGAAAAATGTACTTCTGTAATAAATATTCTTTATCTGTATAATTTGAATACTTCTCTACCCACAAAAATCCGGAGGGGGGAAAACATGTGACTGGTGTTCAAACTATCAAAAGAGCTCCTTAAATGACAGTTCAAAGCCTAGAGTTTCCAATCACTTCAGAAGATCACTATTCTGTGGTGATAGGAGATTGTGCACAGCTGGATCCCGGGGCCACTCAGCACTGTTGGTCTCCTGAACACCCATCACTTCACTCTCTTGAACTCAGATGAACCAGAATTCCCTGTGTCAGCACAAGGCCATTGCCAAAGCCCACGATGGGAGCAAACATGTATAACTCAAAATGCATAGGCTTGACTTTAGGGAATAAGAAGAAGGTATGTCTGGGGTGGCTTTCCCCAGCATATTCTTCCCACTCCTGGTGGTCTTTGGTTTAGAGACATTCTTAGCCAGAAACTGGAGCTCTTAAAAATTTTGTCCTGATGTTTGTCATCTTCCATTGCTTTGGTAATCAGAAAAAAGTAAATGGTAGTTTACTCACAGCCATTAGTAATTCAGCTGCTTCGTATTTGATTTCCTTTGGATCTTGTGGTTGAATGCCAGCTGGTTCTGTTCATTTATTGTTATTTATTCTATTTTACCTTCTACTGACACTTCGGTTTGAAATAAATGCCTCTGTGTAAAAAAAACAAACAACAAACCTACATTAATCATATTTAATATTTATAAAACCCCTTCCAATTATGACTGGAACTGGAACATGAAACCTGCTTTGCAGTAGCTAATTGCTTCAGCTTTTATGTACTGTTCCACTCTTTCATGCTAGAGCATTTAATAACTTGATAGTCTTTGTTAGCCTAAACATCCCCTCTATAGCTTCACAGCCTTGGTTTTAATTTCTACCGTTAAGTTTTGCACATGGCTTCTAAAAGTGGCTAAGCTTGGGATATGTTCACGTGATCAGGAGATTTCTTTCTTGAGCCTTAGCTGAGGCCTGTCACAGCTGGTAAAATGTCAAAGTTGTGTCCACATCTGATAAGGAAAGCTTAGAGTCAAACAAATTTAATGTATCAACAAGTATCTCACAATCCCTATGAACTGAAATTCTTTGGCTAAACATAGAAAGTTCAGAATTACAGTAGCAATAGCAAGAGCATAAATTTTTCTCAAAAGGAATGATGGTAGTGACTGCCAGGTATTCTGTAAACCTGATATATGGTCAGGGCATGTATGGAAATTTAAGGAAGACTATCTTAAAGAAGAGGAGCTAAATGCATCCTTTTAATTTGTATTCACAACAGAGGGAACTGAAAAAAATCCTCCCTCTGGTTTCTATATACAGTAAAGGAATTTTGATCTAATTTATACAGTTAATTTTGACAAGGTCTGTACATCAGAAGAAAGCCCAATTTGCGTTGGCTTCAGCTTGAAAGCGAAGTAAAATGTAGGTCAGCTCTGACTCAACTTGAGCTAGTTGCTCTTTATTTTCTTTTTTCCCCTCAGGTAAAGTGTGTTCGATACTGGCCAGATGACACAGAGGTCTATGGAGATATTAAAGTCACATTAATTGAGACAGAACCATTGGCAGAGTATGTCATACGCACATTTACTGTACAAAAGGTAAGGAAATCTTCAGTCAGCCAAAATTTTGATACAACGCTTAATTTGTGTTCAGGAATGTGAGCTCTGGGAAACATATCCAGAATGCTCTTGGAGATGGGAGCTGTTAGTATTTGGACAGTTTTCACTTCAGAAACCTAGATTTTTGACAGGGATTCCAATTTTGGACAAATGATTTTACATGAACATCTTGATGTAGCCACAAAAGTAGAATCCACAGTGCATGAAGCTTAAATGCATCCAAAAGCCAGCAGATAGTTGATGGTATGCCAGGAATAATAACTGTTGTGTTTCACAGTGGCAAATTACAGATGAAAAAAGGTATCAGTTTAACTGGATGCCAGATAGGGTCCCCTTTCAACAGAAATAAAAATATAATAAAGGCAAGAGCATAAAAATTATCCCCAAATAGGCAGGATTTGGAAGATTTTTGTTACTTGTAATTACAAATTGGAAGTCTAAGTGTCAGAGTATTCCAGATCTGTCCAAATTACTCTCCAAACACTCAGTAAGTGGTTCTAAAGCTTTTCAAAAATTCCTGCTAAATGAACTTCAGCCACACTGGGAATGTTGTTCCAGTTTTCTAATATATCAGCTCTATATTTCATTATATCACTGAAAAACTTGGTAAGACATGCTAATGCCAAAATCTGACAGGGAAGAGGACCTGCTGCTGGATTCCGCCTACCTTGCCTGTATGATAAAATGTCACAGCTAACTGACACTTCTGTGTTACCCTTTGCAGGGCATATACAAGTGGTGTCAATTTTCATGTACCAATAACTTGGTCTTGCCAGAAAAGCCAAGTAATGGGTCTGGGTACCAGTTTCTGCCCTTTTCACCACCAGCTGTAGTCTCAAACTGAGATTTTGTGGCAGGAGATGGCACAAAATCTACCGTTGCCTGGAGCATGCCCACTCTCCAGGTGTTTGTTCCCCAAGCTGTTGCTTCAACACCTCAAAAAGGATCTAAGAGTGACTTCTTGGTGGTTTATAGCAGTAACGCCAAAGGAGGCTGTATAAATGCAGCCATGGTGTGCTGGGGCTGAAGTCACCCTGTAAAGTTCCTAATCAGCTGGGTTTGAACTCTTAAGACCACAGGTTTGAATTGGGAGCTGGCATTCACCTTCGTAGTCCTTAGTTGTGTGTTGCCTGCTTCATTTGTACTTGGAGTTCAGCTTCAAATATCTTGGAGTGCAAAGTGGCGCTTGTTCAGTCCCCTGCATGAGGGACAGGAGCAGTGATCAGAACATGCTGACTGCAGTCTGATGGAAGAAAAATAGAGGCTGTATTGTCTCCTCAGAAAGGCTACCATGAGATCCGAGAGATTCGTCAGTTCCACTTCACCAGCTGGCCAGACCACGGGGTTCCTTGCTATGCCACCGGCCTCCTTGGCTTTGTTCGTCAAGTGAAGTTTCTCAATCCCCCAGAAGCAGGACCCATTGTTGTGCACTGCAGGTACGCAAGCTCTTTGAGCCTTTCCTCATCAGCTTTTTCAGCTTTTTTCCTTTTTCCTTTTCATCTGGCAACCATCAACTACGTTTTGCTTAAGAGTATAATTTGTGGGCCTCACCAGGAAACAAAGTAGAATTTGGTTTTCTTTTCTGAAGTGGCAGCTCTGGAGCTTAGCTGGCATGAATTGGAGATGATATAAATAAGTCAGAGAGGGCCATTTGAATGTAGAAGACTCTCTGGTGGCCTGTACTCTCTTAGATGCTCATAGCAGAACTGGGAAAAAGGTAAATATCTGGGACGGCCATTCCAGTCATTATCTACAACAAACCTCACGTGGCAGAAGGGACAATGCCTACAAAAAGACAGGGAATTTTAAAGCAACTTTGCTTTTCTGTACCTACATGCACTGCAGTTCAGCTTTGTACCAGCATCAACAGTCTTCTCTGAAATGTCAGTCTGTCTTCCTGGGTCTGGATGCCAGCTGTTGTACATCTTGGCCTCTTCAAAGCCCAGGAGCTGGAATGGGAATGTCAGACTGAAAACCTGCCCCGTGCCTTCCAGCCAGGAAATAAAAGGGGAATGCCTGAGGAAACCTTGCTGCTTGGTTTACAGCTGTGAAAATGGAGACTATTGAATCATGTGCTTGCTAACTCCCTAGCTGCTGCTGTTACCAGAGAAGGCTCTTCTGCACTCTTTTCTTCCAACGGAGCTTAAAGCTCTACTCTGCAAGGCACTGTATGAATATGTAGGAGTGTGTCCCTGACATGAAGAACTAACAGTTTGAGGTGTGATCAGGCATACTGCTGGCAGTGGGAAAGCAGACACACACATAGACTGGCATCAGTCAGATGGCTTCAAATGCAAGGAAAGACATTGCTACAAAAACAGAGTTTGGGTTTGTAGCAGCTACTTCTGCAGTGCTCAGGCCACAGGTCAGGGCACAAGTTCCATAAAGGAGACGTGGCTGGAGCACAAGGCTAGGAAGCAGAGCTGGCTATCCCAAAATCTCACCCCTAGTCAGTCCACAGGCAATTACCTCTAAGTGCCATGCTGCGTGACCAGAAAGAGAGAGAGAATATATCCAACAACCACTTTAAAAAGGAAAATCAATTAAATCTTACTTTTTTAAAACAGTTTTGGGTTGGGGGGGTGTTTTGCTTTGTTGAGTTCTTTTAGCAAGCAGTGAATCAGTTTTATAATAAAATACAGCTAAAGCCTGAGGAGCTGACAGAAGGGAATTCATTCAGAGCACAGGGCCTGAATTTGCTACTTTGGTGCCATGACATGGGTCTGGCCCTGCAAGGAGTCTGAACCTGATTCATTGTCACCAAGAAAGCAAGGAGAAATTTTTCATCCTTCACATTTTAATGAATAAATGCCATTTCCTCTCTGTTATTTATCTGCTTTTGAATTTTAATGACTTGCTTTAAGTGGTAATTACCAAATTCTCCCTACTGATGCCTGGCTGGATAATATCACTGTTCGATATTTATGAAGTGCCAGGATCCTCTAAATATAGAAATGTTATAACTATTTGTTAAAATTCTGAAAAGCTGAGAGATAAAGAGAGAGGAAATGCCACTTATTCATTAAAATTCTGCAAATGAAAAATATCTTCTCTCTATTCAGCAGTTGATTAATCTGGTCCATTAATTTATGGTCATTCATATCTCCTTGCGTTCAGCTCTGCTGGAGTTTTCATGGAACTGAAGTCTCCCTGATTTGAGCTGAGTTTTCCTTCTTCCTTCAGAGTAATGTGAAGAGATGTTCTCCTCTCTCTATCCTTCACACCTAAACAGCTTGGATGATTTCCCAGGAGGGAAGGAGGACACAATGACAACACAGTTTTGCAGAAGATGGTCTAATTCTTGCAAGCAGCAGGGTGTTCTAAACTGAAGGTCTTGAATAGCCTTGAGCTCCTTTCTCTATAATTTTACAATCCACAACTTGAAATCACCCTCCTCAGGACCCAAACTCCTCCAGATTGAAAAGGGAAATGTTTGAGGTGGAGGACTTGAGCCCGTTTCATTATGCCCACTTGAGTAAACATGTGCATGCCTTTTAAAGAGTCCCATGGAAGAAAATTTCTGGACTTGTGTCTATTTGCAACCTGCAGGCTGCTTTCGCACATCCTGTGTGATGAGAGGTGTGCAGGTGAACTGACCTGTAAAATCATAACCATTTTTTCACAGAGTAATTTTTTTGTTGATGTTCAGGAACACAAAGCTTTTTTTCCTGTACTTGGGTCCATTTCACTTTCAAGAAATATTATTTTACCTCAATCTCTTAAATCCTAAGCTAATTTAGCTACACATAAAACTCAACCCATTTCGAAGAGAAGACAGCTGGGTCTGTGATACAGTGATTTTCTCCTCCATAAAGCCCTGCCCCTCCATGGTCCCTTGATCATGCAGACCCTCATTGTTGTTTCTTTTTTTAGCGCTGGGGCTGGGAGAACAGGGTGCTTTATTGCCATCGACATCATGCTTGACATGGCAGAGAACGAAGGCGTGGTAGATATATTTAACTGTGTGCGAGAGCTGCGATCCCAAAGGGTCAATCTGGTCCAGACGGAGGTAGGTGCCAGCAGGTCTCCTCTTACGAAGTACTGCTTTTCTGTCAGCTTCTCTGCTCAACAGGAGCCCAGCAATTCATTAAGTCAACACTTGCTTCCTCTGTGATGTGATTATACAGAACTTTCAGTGGCTAAACATGACCAGATGTGCACCAAATCACATTCACTGGCAGCTACTCAGGGCCTCCAAGACAGGAGGGCAAACCTTGAAGCTAAGGTCTTAGTATTGCTGATTAATTTTATTCTCACAGTAGAAAAAAGCTAGCTCCTGAATCCTCTCATGACTCATTCATAGGTATACTGCAGACTCGAGTAGTACCTAGTTTATATCAACTGCAAACTAAACAAATGAAACATTTTTGATTCAGGCTTTGGGTGCTGATTAAGCAAGCTGCTCCATCACGTAGCATCTAGCAGCTGCACAAACTTCTGTGGAACCCTTATCTTGCTACACAAGTTTTTCCTATGTGCTTCAATGCCTTCCCCTCCTGAGGGACAGGACAATAACCTGGAACAGAGAAGGACTTTTAACTTTGTTGGAATTCTCATATTTAGTTCAGGGAAAGAACTTTACCCAGAATACCAGGAGTCCAGGAGTTTTGAAGAGACAGATGGAGCAGACCTGTTATTACAATTGTTTCTGCTGGTGTTGTCATAGGTGCAGAGCACAATCCATTTCTGACCATTGCCTCGTGGTTGTGAACAGAAAAGCTTCACACCCTGATTTCCTCCTCAGCCCACCCCCATTTTGTCCTAGCATTCCTGAGAGTGGTGACTTCCCATTTTACTTGTAAATTTGAAATGAATACATGAGACCTCATGTTCAATGATGGATGAAATATGCTCACAAAGCTGTCATGTAACACACTCTGTAATTTGTCTCTACACGAAATGGAGCCAAATATGCATATTGGGCTTGATTTAAGAAAAAACCCCACAACCCTGTGATTTTTCATGAACTGCATTGAAAATATGATTTTAATATCTTATCCCCTCCCCTGTGCAGGAGCAGTATGTATTTGTCCATGATGCCATTTTGGAGGCATGTCTCTGTGGCAACACGGCCATTCCAGTTTGTGAGTTCAGATCCATATATTACAACATCAGCAGACTAGATCCACAGACCAATTCCAGCCAGATAAAAGATGAGTTTCAGGTAATTTCATGTGTCTCAGTCATTGCAGTTGGTGTATTGAAGGTGTTTAATCAATTTCTGTGTGCTATTTTATGATTTCCAACAGAGTGGAGAAGGGGGACACAAGCCAAGGTCTGATTTCAGCTAATTTTTGTTGTTTTACTACTGGATCAAGCAGAGATTTGCTTTTGAGCATGAACTTTTCAGCCTTCAGCAAGGAAAAAATTCCCCATCACTTCAGTAGAGCAAGGATACTAATTTTTGGAGATAATGTCATACTTCTCATTTAAACAAATATTCTGTTGTTCATTTTCCTCTGTAATTTATGCAGAAACATCTATGCCTCAAGGTCCCTTATTATCCATTCTCATGGTTCATATGCTGCTTCCAAGTCTTGACAATCAACTTGTTGACGTCCTTCCATACAAAGGAGAAAGTAAGCTTAGTGAGCATTACTTTCTCTATTACTAATTTTCAATGAAGTGAATCCCTCAGTTCACTATGTATGTTTTGCCAAGTACCTGGTGGTGAGAACTGAAATGATGTATAGTAAAATTCACAAGTGCTGGCGTTTGCCTGGGGCAAGCGATGAAATGAGGACCACTCTGCCTTTTGCTATCACCATTGCTTATCCCACCCTAATAAATGGGCTTGAGACACATGAGCCTCTCGCACAGTAGAGAACTCACCCTGCAGAACACTGAACTAAGCTTTCCAGTCTTATTCCCCATGCATCTGTAAATCCCTTTAGGATTTTCAGCTAACACCGATGTATGGAAAAACTTAATATTGTGGGAAATCTGGGCAAGATGAGTTAGGAAAGAGGAGGAGACCTCTGCTGTTTGTTAAGAGGCCGTTCTTCTTAGCAGTAAAAAGGTGGAGATTCCTTTAATTGTCGGAAGTGCCCACCCCCTTTCCCAGCAAAGTATCTTTTGCAGTAAGAGAATGTCTTTTGGGAGCCCCAGTCTGAGTCAGATGCCTCTTTTCCTCCCTCTCTGTGCAAAGGGAGAATGTGTGGTTTTTATCTGAAACCTTACACGGAATCATCAGGGTTGGTTTAGTGAGATAAAGAATGTGGATCCCAACTGATGACAGTTCAATTAAAAAAAGATATGGTTTTATCAAGCGATATCAGATCTGTAAAACCACATCTGGTTCTGGACGTTTGGCATGAAGGAGCCAAAGCCTAACTTCATCAAATGCTGTTATGCTATTAAAAAAAAAGTCACCACTTGCTGGGCTTATTTTGTCATGATATGAGACGAGATTTGCTGTCTGTGTGCTTGTTCTTTTGAGCTCCCAGGGGCTGGCAGCTCCTGTGAGAAGGAAATGCTCCACTGTACTTTGCATAAGAGGTGCGTTCTCTGTCTAGTTGTAGAATTTGTTTTTACAGGATTTTGGCTCACAGCATTCTTCAGCCCTAATTGTCTGGATTTAATGCAAAAGATGGTATCTTTTGCTACAATCTTTATGAACCAGTTGATCTAACTATAGATCTGTTGGTGCAATTTGTGTTATTTAGGTCCCAGTGGCCCTCAGGTAAGGCTGGATGTATTTCTCATGCACTACATGTTGTCTGAACATGCAAAAGCTTGTTCTGGAGTGTTTTTGTAATCTGAATATGTACAAAAAAACAAGAGAAAGAGGGGAAGGGCAAAAAATAGACAGGAGTAAATCACTAACAAGTCACCTGCCTAATTATCTGCACTGTCAGAGATCTGAGATTTCATGTTGCTTCCCCAGCCAGACTGCCTGCTTTCCATCTCTAGACAAAGGGACTTTCATGCAGAACCTGCATAATTTAGAGCAAGTATATTATTGCAAATTTTATACTTTGACACATTCCTTTATCTAGGATTGTTTGACCCTCCTCTTTTCTCCATTTATAACCTCTCTGTGGCAGAAGTCAAGCTCTGTGTAAGAATTTTTAGCCCCTAAATATTGTGTGTTCCTCTGATGGCTGCAGAGGAGTTCACTGTATGACTGCATGGGCTTTGCTGAGGAGCAGGACACATAACAAGTGAAAGTAGAATGACATCAGATAGCCACTGATCTACCATGACTTAAGCAACAAGTGTTAAGATGTGTTCACTTTGATTTGCTGTTTTTGATCCCTGCTGACCAACCTCGACTGGTTTGTCAGGAGGCCTCCACAATGGATAACAAAAAAGAAAATTAGATTTAAAGAAACAGAGTTTGTCAAGCTGTGGGAAAGACAGATAACAGTAAAAGACTGACAGCAAGACCCCAAAGATAAGGTATGACTATATAAGTGAAGCATCCTATATGTCACTCCAAAAGGAAAGCAGCAATCTAAATAATAAATGAAACAAATAGACCTTCCTGTTAAAAAAAACGCCAACAAGCCAACATTTTCTCTCAGGTTTTTATATGCATTGTTAAGATGAATCAATAGATTGAGGAATTACCAGAGGATTTAAAACCACTCTGACGTGCTGGGTGAGCCAGGTGAATGCTTGGGGTACTTCTGCACAGGATCCACTTGAAGAGGGAGAATATACTTCCACCCTGGGGATGGTAGAAACACAAGGAGGTTTCACTCCATGACCAGGTCAAAGCTGCAACTTGTACCTGTGACAGCTATTTCCAACCTCCAGGAAAGAACAGAAATGTTACCTAACTGCTGTGGAGTTTTAGAGCTGGAAATTGTTGGAAGGTGTATAGTCCCCTCAATTTTTGCTGGAGCTTACGGTTTTCGGAACAGCACCTCAGAGTGATGTGCAAAATGCAACGTATTGCAACAGCAACAAGCTCCTCAGTGCTCCTTCTTTTTCATTCTTTGGCATCCCAAAGATCTGCTAGTCTAAGTACCTTTAAAATAAACGTGTTGTGCAGATGGCATCCTTCTTGGAAGTAAATTCAAAGACACTCAGCCTGTTTCTTTCTTCCCATTCTTCCCCCCCTTCACAGACTCTCAATATTGTGACACCGCGTGTTCGGCCAGAAGACTGCAGCATCGGTCTTTTGCCAAGGAACCATGACAAGAACCGCTGCATGGATGTGTTGCCCTTGGACCGGTGCCTGCCTTTCCTCATCTCTGTGGATGGTGAATCAAGTAACTACATCAATGCTGCACTCATGGATGTAAGCAGTACTGCACTGTCCCCATCGATCCTAGTTTGCATCGACTTTATTCATTCTCAAGATGCTTTTCTGGGAGAAAAGGATCCAAGGCAAAAAAACTTTTTTACCTGCAGTTTCTGGGGCTGACATCTCCCAGCTGGGCAAAGGTGACAGAAATGTGTCACCTAGACTATAATTATCCCACTACCGTTGTAGTTCTGCCTCACATTAGTGGAAAATTTTTGACAAGGAAGTTCATGAGCATGCAGTCTGAGGTTGTATCGTAGAAAGGCAGATGGACAAAGAAGTGGTGGGACAGCTCTTCCCCTACATTGGTTGTTGTATAACTTGGAAGAGAAATGTTTGCCAGGAACTGCCAGGTCAGCTCTTTGAAAAGAATAGTTTGCAGTGTGGAGCAAGTGATTGATTTGAACTTATGCAGTTAAGAATGTGGGAGTCCAGGGATCAGATGTGCAAAATTCTTTAAGGCTGAAGGACATGAGTTAAGTTGATATGAAACTGTGCGAAGGCATTTTCCCTTGCTTTGTTTATAGGCTAGAATCTCACAGCATGGGTCATTTGTATAGGGTGAATTATGTTGATGGTTTCTTTTTGCTGTGGTGCCTAACTGCCTTTGGACAGAAATGTCTTTAGAGCCACTAATTATTGCAGTTGGAGTATGTGTAAATATGATCCAGGGTGAAATGTCATGATTTTTTCCCTAGGAATGTTGGGGTTGGTCTTTTTTCATTTTGTGTGTTCTTTTAGTCTCTGGGGAACAGCGATACTACTGCATTTAAGAGGTTAAGTCAAATGGTCATAGAAATAATTTTAGATTCTTTTCAGAAAGATTGTGATGTTTTCATTGCAAATATGCCTAAGGAAACTTTTTTTTTTCTTTAAAGTGTGTTTTGTGCTTTGGCAAATCTGCAGAAGCAGAATCAATTCTCCTCTGGTTTCTTTGGGACTGCGAATGTGTTTGCACATTTCAGCCTTCATTACCTCAAATCACTTTGCTAATACTTGTATCCTTCCCCACAAAATTCCTGCTAATTAAAGTTTTTGTACGAGGGAATTTTTCATCCGTCATTGAAATTCAGCCACTATGATGTTCTCTGGCTCTCCTTTATCCTTCCATAGAGGAATCAGCAGCTTTTGGAAAAAAACCACCAAATAATCAGAGGGGAACAGCCAAAATCCCACGTTTTCATAGGCATTCCTGCTGAGGACAGACCTTGCAAATTGTTTGTCTTTTCCAGTAGCTTCAGGTCTGCAGTCTTGGGCATGGGTGCTTACAAGAGATCATCTATCCCATATTGCCTTGAACTATCATTAATTCTTTCATTGTGTGAAGACAGGCATGTGCTGGGGAACACTTGACAACACAGTCCCAGTGCTGATCATTTTATTTACAGATTTTTCATGTTTATCTCTTTTTTTAAACTTCTCTCCAAACCTTATTTGACTTGCAGCTTGCTCTGTGTATTACATGAAAGCTGTGATGGAAGAAGCGGTAGAGCAGGAAGGGGTGATGGTACTCCTAGAATGGGTTACAGCCTGAGTTTAGAAGCATGAGTTGATCCAGGAAGGCAATCTGGACTGTGTTCACCAAAATTAACCTTAGACACAGAACACCATTTGAACCCTCCCTCAGGGGGTGAAGCACTCAGTCTGGCCTCCTAGCTAAAACTGTGCTGGAGACCATCTCAGTCTGTTGACTGCAGAGCATTAAAAACCAGCCTCTTCTGCCTTGCGTTAGCTTTAGGGATTACAGCCAAAGGGCTACTGTTGACCACAGAAAGGAGGAATTCTCCCCCAGCAGATTTTGAGATTCATGACCTTTCCTTTTCAAGTCCTCTGTCCCTTTCAAGTAAAGAGACCTTAGGATTTTTCCTATGAGAATCATTGGAAAGCCATGTTTGCAGCTGCAAAATGGTTTGTTAAGAAGAAAGGAGAAATACCATCCCTCACCTTCCCCTAAAACAATTGAACATAATCCTTACACAAAGAGACTTTAGCCACATCTCTGAGTCAAGCCATACAGAAGTGGCTATAGGTTTGCATTTAATGCATGGGGCTTGGAGAAAGACATGAGTCCATGTCATGTCCCTGTCATCATCATTCCCCCAAGATCCTACACATGTTCCCTTACATGACTAATTAACATCTCTGTGTCATCTTCCCTTTAAATTAGGACAGCGAACCTGGTTCCTCACCTGTAGCAAAGAAAACAGGTGGGGCATGTTTCTTTTTTGTCCTAGTGGCAAAACCCACAAACACATCTTAACTTCAGCCAGCAGCTTAGCCAATTATGCAATCTGCTGTATTGGTGCACAGTGAAGAAACCTAGCAGAAACATTACGTTCTTAACTCTAGTTAAGAGGTAAGATTCACTATTTTATTTACCAGTCTGTTGCCACTGTTGGTCTGGTACTACATAGCTTTTGACCCATACTGGTGCTCCTAGGTTTGAAATACAGAGTAGCAAGAAAGAAAAATCCATTCCAGACTTATAATTTCCCAATAAATCATTTCCTTTTCCTTCTTTCTACTTCATGGCCCATGACCCTTCTCACACATGCACACTCAGAAGCATGGTGCAGCCACCCTGCAAGCTGGTGCAGAGTGTGCACAGCACCTTCTCTGCCTCCCAGCATCGTCTGCTCAGCACTTCCACCCACATCTGACTCATATGGGGGAGAAACAGCAAGCCCCCACAACTGCCTTGGGGTTTTATTTATTTCTTTACTTTAAATCCAAAATCTTAATCTGTTTAGTTGGTGGGGTTTTTTTAACCCAGAAATATTGTGCCTTTTAATTCAAGTCAGCTTCACAGAGGTACAGCACAAAGGACTGTGCAGTTTGTAGGCTCATCTAAGCATTGCCTACCACGGTTGGAAAGCGATAAAGTTTTGAGCTTGTACCCTTTCATCTCAAAGTGCCTTGCAAACATTCATTAACACAACCCCGCAAAGGTTAGGAGTTCCTCCCCTTCGTGGTTAGGGAGATTGAGGTCAGAGGGCTTTTTTGAGGTGAAAGAATAGCATCAGAAATTAAATGCCAGCATCGCAGGCTCTGAATATTGCCCCACAAGCTCTTAAAGGATGGCTGCGATCCAAATGTGCCACCTCTGTAGCACTACATCACCAGGGAGCGATAGCAGATGGGGGGCTAATCCCTTCTGTAGTTTCTAGAGTCCATTGCAGTAAAAAGGATAGCATTTGCTTCCAGCTGTTTTCTTTCCAATTACTAATATTACTGTTAGTAGTAGTAGTAGTAATAGTAGAATTAGTATTATTTGCTGAGTCTCAAAATATAAATAATTGATTTGGGTAATCTCTGCTCTTGTGACACTTCTTTAATGAAATGTCTTCATTGGGAGCAAAAGAATCCCATTATGAGACATTCATTCATTGCAAAGCGATAACAAGGAGAAGGATATGTGATTTGTATAATCTGGTTAAATGGCTCAGATTGCCTAGCCATAGCCTCCCGGGTATAATATTCGTTTGAATAAAAGTTGATTGAATTTTTTTTTTAACTAATCTTATTCTTTTGTTAGAGCCACAAGCAACCTGCTGCCTTTATTGTAACCCAACACCCTTTGCCCAACACCATAGCAGACTTCTGGAGGCTGGTATTTGATTATAACTGCTCCTCTGTCGTGATGCTGAATGAGATGGATGCAGCACAGGTAAGTGATTTTTCATAATTTCCGTCACGTAACTTTCTTCTCAAATCCAGATGGTTTTAAGAGCATTTCTGCTGCCATTTTCTTGTGGCCCCCCCTCCCCACCCCAATAAATAAATGAAGTGGAACTGGAAAGTAATAGGTGTTTTGCGGTATAATGAAGAGTAAGTCCACATGCTTGGCTCCTTCTAAGACAGCAAATTCTTACTGCAATTAAAAGGGATATCTAAATATGTTGTGTTTGTGGGCCTAAATCTTCCTACCAAACCTGCTCTCTTTGCTTTCATATTTTTTGTCTGTCTTTGGTTCAGGAAAATGTTCCCTACCACAACCCCAGTGTGCTTCATGCTTGCCTGTTCACATGGCATTTCCAGAAGAATAAAACCATGAGAGATGCTGAAATCATTCGGAGGATCTTTCCCCTGAGATTTCCAATGCAATTCTGTAATACCGAGAAGTGTGGTTCGCACAGTTTCTGGAGAAGCACATTGTGCTGTGGGGTTTTTTTGTTTTTTTTTCTTTCTAGTGTCATATGTAAGTTGGTTTCTTGGCTACTAAACACACCATTATTTTCAGGAGTTGAGCTTGCCAGGGAGGAGCCGTTGGAGTTCCTCCTGTACTAGCATTTCCAGCCACCTTGCTGATGAGTGGCAGAAGATAACAGCTTTCAAAAAGGTGTAATCATGCAATTTGTGTGAAGAGTACGTTTGGCATGGCTAATTCGCCCATTACAGCACTTGTTAAATAAGAGGAGAGGAACCCTCAAGTAGTTGGTACTTCATGGATTAATTTTTCATTTGTCTCTTCTGTGTCTTCAAAATCTTACCACACTTGAAGGCAATGAGATTAGTGGTCTCTTTTTTTTGATGCTAATGGAGAAGCCAGTCACCCCATTCATTGAGGGGATCTCCCTTCAGTGTGAATGCTATGGGATTTCATTTCTAGCCACAATAAGAGCTCTGCTCAGAAGTGGGCTCTCTTGGTGACCCACAGAGTCCCACCACTGTGCGAGGAGCTGGAGGTCCCGTGCGTTTGCTGCCTCATGTCCAACTTACCCTGCTTGATTCTACGTCTTGGCATTGAATCCAGAGGCAAATTTCATCTTTTCCTTTTTTTCCTGACACTTTTAAGACAAACACAGCTTTTTATGAAAATGACACACTTTCTCACACTTCATTCTTGGAAACCACAAACTTATCAGCCTTAGCCAGTGTTATTCTTGTGACTATCTTTCTGCACAAGACTTTACCTGCTTTTTTTTTTACCTAGCAAAGTTTTGTTTTTATGTGGTAGTCTGTAGGCACAAAAAAGGAGATTTGGCAATGCATAAAGTCACTTTGGCAGGTACTCTAGCATGGTGTCACCTAGCTTGACTCTGCAGCCAATGCCAAAAACCCCCAGCTAGCATGGGAAGTTAAGGATAATTTTCATGTTTGTATTGTATGAGTTTTCAAGGCAAGGTGTGGCAGTTTAATATCATAGAATCATTTAGGTTGGAAAAGACCCTCAAGATCATCAAGTCCAACTGTAAACCTAACACTGCCAAGTCCACCACTAAACCATGTCCCTAAGCACCACATCTACATGTCTTTTAAATACCTCCAGGGATGGTGACTCAACCACTTCCCTGGACAGCCTGTTCCAATGCTTGACAACTCTTTCAGTGAACTAATTTTTCCAAATATCCAATCTAAACCTCCCCTGGCACGACTTCAGGCCATTTCCTCTTGTCCTATCACTTGTTACTTGGGAGCAGAGACCGACCCCCACCTTGCTACAACCCCCCTTCAGGTAGTTGTAGGGAGCGATAAGGTCTCCCCTCAGCCTCCTTTTCTCCAGACTCAACAGCCCCAGCTCCCTCAGCCGCTCCTCATAAGACTCGTGCTCCAGGCCCCTCACCAGCTTGGTTGCCCTCCTCTGAACACGCTCCAGCACCTCAGTGTCTTTCCTGTAGTGAGGGGCCCAAAACTGAACACAGGACTCGAGGTGCGGCCTCACCAGTGCCCAGTACAGGGGAACAACCACCTCCCTGCTCCTGCTGGCCACACTATTTCTGATGCAGGCCAGGATGCCGTTGGCCTTCTTGGCCACCTGGGCACACTGCTGGCTCATATTCAGCCGGCTGCCAACCAGCACCCCCAGGTCTTTCTCTGCCGGGCAGCTTTCCAGCCACTCTTCCCCAAGGCTGTAGCGCTGCATGGGGTTGCTGTGACCAAAGTGCAGGACCCGGCACTTGGCCTTGTTCAACCTCATACGATTGGCCTCAGCCCATTGATCCAGCCTGTCCAGATCCCTCTGTAGAGCCTTCCTACCCTCCAGCAGATCAGTTGTGAAAGTGAGGTTTCTGAAAAGGAAACTTCACAATGTTGTACTTGCACTGTCATTTTATGACAACGTTGTAATTATCTAGCTGTTCATCATTGCCTAATCCAAGTGCTGTACTGTAAGCACTACGAAACCGTTGGTGTACAGTTGCCTGCAGATACCGTATTTGTGTGCATGAGCAGGGTGTGTTATTCATCTCCGTGAGTATAACACAAATACAAAAATTGCTTATGTAAAAACTGTGCCTGAACTGTAAAGAGGAAAAGAGTTAAAATAAATAGGTAAGTGAACCTTTAATCCCCTATGCAGGGAAAAGGTGCAAATAAAACCATGTGGAGGTCAGAGAACGTAACAGACAATTTTAAGGACTGTATATACATATACGTTTGGATAGATGGCCATTCACAGACATGCTTTACGAAAAGCAGATTTTCAATATTAAGGAAAGGTTTAATGTTTTTCTTCTTTCCAATGCACTTTGAGGTTGTTTCCTAAAGCACCTGCTCAGCTCGAATCTCCTTGCCTATTGGACAGATGCTTTGAGAGGAGATCTGTAGACTGCTTGAAAGTCTGAATGAAGAGTAAAGACAACCTTCAAAGGAAGACTTGCTTATGTGGTCTTGGCTGGCTTGCTTAATCGTGAAAAACTAACAAGGGCAAAGATGCATAAGATTGCATGAATATCCCACCCAATTTCAATCCCATATGATCGAAGGAATAAAAGGAGTACAGAATTAATGCAGTAGCATGCACACACTTGACGTTATTACTAGCAATGATTGAACTTGAAAAGCTTGAGATCAAGTTCAAATGAGCATCTGGGGGTTTCAAAACTTCTAAAAAGTTACACTTGAAAATAGGAAGAAAAAAACAGAAAGAAATACAATCTCAGCAGAAACTGCTAATGAGATCTCATGCAAAATATTTTCTCTCCATGATCTATTTCCAGATGGATTTGAAATACTTAGACTGTAATTTGTGTGGATAGGAATTTTTTTGTACTTTCAATTCAGTAACATCAGCATAAGAAAAAAAACTTCCAACCTGCTTCACAAACTTCAGAGATTCAGCTGTGGTTCACCCTGAAATTGGAGTTGCTCTCGTGGCTCTCGGAGCAAACTCATTCTCCCTCCCTTGCTGACTGGTAAAGTCAGAAAGCTAAAAAGTTCATCTTACAGAAAAAAAGAAGTTCCACTTCACTTGAATTAAAGTTAATTTTCTTGGTGCATGTACTGTTTCCGTATTAACACCAAGCCTATCTGGTTCCTATGAAATTCACCTACAGACACTAATCTTTTAATGTTCATTTTAAATCTATACCCCTAGAGAAGCTTCATTTTTCAGCCACCTTTTCTACACGTTTACACCCCAGAATTCAACTAGTTACAAATTGTGTTCATACAAAAAAAAAGGGGGGGGGGGGGGGGCAAAGTTCTAAAATACATTTCTTCATATTCATGATATAAAAAACTTTTACTGAGCTAGAAGGAGGTCTTCTCTGAGAAAATACATGTAATACAAGATTGGTTATGGATTTTGAGCTGCTTATACATTTGAAAGGAAAGAAGACTGAACATGCATTTCCTTGTTAATAGTTAAGATGCCTTATGTTTCTTTTGGCATTTTCTCCAGCTCTGTATGCAGTACTGGCCAGAGAAGACGTCCTGTTGTTATGGCCCAATTCAAGTAGAGTTTGTTTCAGCAGACATTGATGAAGATATCATCAACCGGATATTCCGGATCTGCAACATGGCCAGGGTAAGATCAGTGAAATACCAGATTCCCTATTTATTCTCAAAAATATATTTTGGCATGAGGAAGAGGCAGAACGAAGACTTGTGGTTTAGAGACGCGGAATCTCTCACCTAGGAACAAAATTCCACTGCGGAATTTAGTAGCTACTTCCTTTAATTAACATTTAATTGCATCAGTCTGTATTGGTAAAAGACTTGGCTGAAAGTAGAAAGTGGATGATGTGAGCTGAAAATCTGTATTTAAATGGAAAGCATTTTTCTGTGTATATTTGAGAACAATTAATCACTTAGTAGCCAATATAAAACCATCAGTATCATAGGAAATAAACTGGGATAGTGTCAGCAGGTCTCCATCTGTCAACTGCTATGCAGTGTCTCTGAAGACAGATGCAACGTTTACTGGCTAGACTGGGATTCCCAGTTGCCACTGTTTTTTCTATAAATAAACAACTGTCATTTCTGTAAGCAACTCTTTGTCCGTATCCCTCAGCCCCAGGACAGCTGAAATGATAGAAACAAAGTTTATCTGCACACTGGACCCTGGCAATGCAACTTCAGGGCTGCAGGAAAGGGTTTCAGTAGAGGATTTTTCTCTCATTAGCTGTTTCCCAGATTGGTTATGTCTCCTTTTTTGTTCCTTTTTTTTTATTTTTTTCTAATCAGAAATGGAAACAGGCTCCACAGATTACATTTCTATGCTGTTTAACACATCAGTCTCTGGTTGTATGGTCAGAGCCTGTGCGGCAGTTCAGTCGTGGCGTTGCAGAGTGAACCTTGTGGTTCAACTACACAAATTGATAAATCAGTTAGATATTCACCTTCCTATGAAGGTCAACTGCCTCTGGACCAGGGGCAGTCTTGAAGTCATATAGCTAGTAAGACTAAGGCTCTGTGACTCTCAGGATGAAGCTGGCTCATAAATGCATAGCTGGCAGGGTGGATGCTGTGAACTCACAGCTCTCTGCACCCATCTACGTTCAACAGCAATGGCTGCTGCTAAAATCTTTATGAGGATCCTTTCCTGCCACAGTCCCCAGAGATTATCTGAGGGCCTTCTTTGCCTTTACTTCTTATGGCACAACCAGTCTCCAGCACAGGCAACCAGGAAAGACACACTTGCTCTTTTTGATCTATTCGTACAGTTTGGTGAGATTTTATTCTCTGCTGGAAACAAAACAAGGGATCCTATGCACCTGGTTTCTGCCGGGCTCTGTAATATCTGAGGTGTTACCCAGATTACCAAAAAGCCCTTGTTTCCCCACTGTATCAGGTATCCGGAGTGGAGGGATCATCAACATTGATGATATCAGATCCAGAGGGAAAGATGCCATATAACCCGGCCCCCTGTGTTACCCTCTCTGTTTCCTGCCCCATTCCATTTAGCATCTTGGAAATGCTCTTTGTTTTAGCCTCAGGATGGATATCGCATAGTTCAGCACCTGCAGTACATTGGCTGGCCGGCATACAGGGACACCCCTCCTTCCAAACGCTCCCTCCTGAAGGTGGTCAGAAGGTTGGAGAAGTGGCAGGAACAGTATGATGGGAGAGATGGACGGACTGTTGTCCACTGCCTGTAAGTAGGACTGGAAAATGCCTGTAACCTCACAAAATGCTGTCTGAAGAGCACTGATCATGGGTATGGAAATTTGGTGGTTTGCCAGGCTTCAGCTGGGGAAAATGAAGTTAAATTACATTTGTAATACACTTCAAGTTGAATATTGTATTACATTATAGCATCCTGGCCCAGAGATTTTACTGATTGTGGTGAGAAGTAGCTGAAAAAACTCTGCTACTTTCAGTTGTGTCGGTAGGTCTCACGACTGGAGCACAGACACAAGTGAAGCAGCACTGCCGCGTGTCCAGCTCTGACCACAGAGCTGCTGCGAGCCCCTAAGCAGTGAGGAGCAGCTCTGCAGTCCCTGTGGCTTCCCCATCCACCACTGCCAGGGATCAGCTTAGCCCTTTCTTAGTATATGTGGTGTGTGAGGTGCTGTGTAAGCAGTGATCTCCTCCGTTCCCTCAGCCTTACCTACCTTCTCCTGTTGCCTCTTTTTTTCTGTACCCAGGAATGGTGGGGGACGCAGCGGTACCTTCTGTGCCATCTGCAGCGTGTGTGAAATGATTCAACAGCAAAATATCATTGATGTGTTCCACATAGTGAAAACATTACGAAATAACAAATCCAACATGGTGGAGTCACTGGTAAGTTGCTTTTCCTGCACCTTACCTCACCCAGTGTAAGCAGGGGGACTTTAGGATAGGTGGAAAAAGTTCATGGCTTAGCTCAGTATGAATCAAAACAAATCATAACATGAAGCCATCAGAATTAACATCAGTCCAGTTTTGGCATGTGCAATGAATCCTCTGGTCCCACTGCTTCTCTCATTGAGCAGAAGGGGAACAGCTGCCCTGGCCCAGCTGCCATGCCCAGCTCTCCCATGCCCAGCTGCCTCCAGGAGGCTAAACACCAAGTAGCTGTCACCATGGCTGTGGGGAGGGGGTGGGATTTGTCCTCCTGTGCATGTGTACAGCCCAGTGCTTAATGCTGTGACATGCCTTGAAACCAGGAAGGGAGAACAGTCAGAACCCCAGGCCTTGCTCCCTGCAACCCAAGAGATTAAACTGTCCTGAATTCAATCATCTCAATCGATCACACTGAATTCTTTCCTCAAAAGCAATGCGTGCAATGAGGCCATGAGGCAAATAATGAATAGCCCATACTGCGGCTGTCTCTCTGAGTGTCCTTCTCTTCCATTGACGATAATATTAATTACTTTTAGTAATGCTTGTTCAAGATCCCGTAGAAATGGAATCAATGTTTGCCTGGTCCTGCCAAACAGTATAAGAAAGAGGGAGGAGGGTTTTTTGGCAGCTTGTAGAATGAGGCTCTGAAGAATTTACCTGTATTCTAATGCCACCGATTTCTATTCTCTTTTTCAGGAACAGTATAAATTTGTATATGAGGTTGCACTGGAATACTTGAGTTCCTTTTAGCCCAGCAGAGGGAGGGGAGGCTCTGAAATGCCAGACCCCAATCTCTGGCAGACGTTTCTCCCCTCTTCCACACTGGAAGGCAGTAACAAGTGTGGGAAGGAAAACCTCTCCTTCCCGGAGCAAGAGACTGAGATTGCACAGACCTCGTTGGAAGGAAGAGAAAATGCCTGTGTTTGCTGCTGCCTGCTTTCTATTGGAACATCTACTGCTTCTTAAGTAACCTACTGTAAAAATTAGCAAAATGGGAGACAGGCTGAAAGACTGGACTTTCTAATCCCCTCTGACTTCTTCTCTCCTCTTTTGGATTGTATTTTTGCTCTCCTTGCTGCAGAGTAGGGAAGGAATGAAACCCTTAGGAAATTCTCTTTTAAATGTCTCCTTTTTAATTTATAATTTTGTTCTCAAATCCCAGTCTTTAATTTTTTAATTTCATGCAGCAGTCATTTGGGAAAAATGAGATAGCCATAGGGGATATATGAAATGTTTCACTACAATTTGTCTACCTTATCTGTTTCCTTTTATTTGTTTTTCCAAGTGAAAAGGCCAACACAAAAAAAAACCAAACCACTGGAATTCTCTTCCCATACATAGTCCCCTTTAGCATGAAAATATAGTGGAGATGAGAAGCTCTTAATGGATTCACTGCCTCGGCTTCTACACAAATGTTTCCTCCCAGTTTCTGCTAGACTCCCAAGGCTGTGCATGAACCAGTTACATCTCTCTGGTCTGTGTTCGTTTCAGTGCTGGTGAAGCAATACCATTAATAAGTTTCCCAGCCACTTGAACCTTAAGGTTAAATATTTGCATCAAACAAATTGCATTTGTCTTGCAACTTTTGGTAACTTTGTTACCATATTTTTCAAGTATTTGCTGGGGTGCAGTGTGTCTTTGAAAAACAGGGTATAAAGTAGGTATTATTGATCATACACTATGTATTATTTTTTATTTATTATTTATATTGCTGTAGAACTTAGGACCCCTAGTCACGACAGGACCCTGCTGAACTAGGCACTGTGCAAACAGAGAACAGAGCTTAAAAACTGAAGGTAATGTTAAAACTGGGTTTGGTCAAGATGTCCTCAGTATTTTCAAACTGTTATTGAGTGATTTATTCAGATTTCCAGGCCCTACAAGTTTCAGGTTTCATCCAAGCTGTACAAAAGGTGATGTACATACACAGAAACGTAATCTGACATGTGTTAAGAAAAATGTTAGACCAGCACAGCAGCTTTCCTTCTTAAGTAAAACAGCTTTTGTTTTGTTCTGCAAAAACGCCTGTGCAACTCTCCTTCTTTGAAACAAACACCAGATGTGTTTTGCCGTGGTTCTGGATCTCACTCTGACTTCTTAGCAGCTAAGAAATTGCTTTTCTGAAAGAGTATGTTTAAGTAGTTAATCATTAAGGTCTGCAGGGTAATGTTGGAGAAAAAAGTAATTGAATGAACAAGGCCTTACAATATTCAGTATTTCAATTTAGCCACTTATTTATCTTGAGGGTGCGGGGATACGAGGTTCCTTTGTGTGTAAATTACATTCTGGGAGATGTAGGTTTCTTCAAATACAGACTTGCTAAAAGATAGACTGAAGGTAAGAGTTTAAGGAAACTCCACTTTCTTACCACTCGGTCGTTTTCCACCCTCAGGTAAATACTCAGAGATTGTGCTGGGAGTTCTGTCATCTCAATGCCTGGTATAGAGCATGCCAGAAGCTCAAAAATGTTTCTAATTCTGTATGTAAATTCAAAAGGCATCTCTGCTTCATGGTCATTCTTTTTTCAATAGTCATACCTTTGCCTTGACAATGAAGGATGAAAATTAAATCATATAAAAGTAACTCTCAACTCAAACATACCAGTATCTAACCAAAAAGTTGTCATCTCTACCAGGACCTGCAACAGTCTAAGGAAGGACACTTGGAACAGCAATAATCCTCTTCCTGCTAAGAAGAGGAGGGGCTTCATAGGATGCTGAACTGCCTAGCTCATACTCTTTCTGAGGAGCTTTGGATTCTTGGCTTGTTCCAAGTGAATATCGTGAAGGTCTTAAATGAGCTTGAACCACATTGTCCCTGATGTAGCCAGTGTGCTATAAAGTATTGGTGAGAACCCCCTCACAGGTGCCTGTGCTCTGTTTCTAGTTGGTCCTTTCTGCTGTCTGCAAGAAATCATGAAATCACCTTTAGTTCCTGTTGGGGCTGTAGGTGAATGCCTGGTGTCTCATGAAACAAACTACTGGCTTTAATTGTTTTTTTTTTTCCTTTTGCCACTAAGCAACATAAACAATGCTGCAGGAAAAATAGAAGGCAAAGCAAAACTATGAGATAAAAATGAGAAGGAAGACATAATATTAGTGTTTTGATGACAGGTGGCTTGCTGTAACCGTGTAGGTCAGGAGTTGGGAGCCATTAGCAAAGAAGAGGGAAGAGGGAATCCTGATCCCAGAATGGGATTTTTCAACAACTGCCCAGGCAGGAAGAAGCTACAAGTCAACAAAGTGTTCATGACTTCACTAACTCCAGAAAGCCAGAGGGAATCACTCCCTGTGGATGCTATGGAAATACTAATTAGTATTTAGCATTCTGTTAATTTTACATGGAAACTAGCATAGTGATAGGTCCCCCTCATGAGTTACTGAAAGACTAGTGCAAGCACTGATGGTGACAGCCAGGATAAAAGGAACAGAGAGGTAGAAGAAATGACAATATGACTGAGATGTGGAGTGTAGGAGGTAGTTCAAGGCTTAACAGTAGCATGAAGGAAAGTGGATTAAAAAGCCAGAAGTAAGCCCATAGAGAGGGATGTGTGCATGGAGAGGAGGTGTTGGATGAGCAGAATAGCACTTGCAGTGGAAATGTTTAAGTTCTTGAGGTAGGTCTGAATGTGGTTTATGGTATGAAAAATGCTCCTAGAGGGTCAGGTGCATGTATCAGCTGACCCACAGCAACTTGCCATCTGTTTTTAGCCCTCTGCAAATGCCAAGTGACATTAGCACAAACTGCAGGGAAAGGTATTTAAGCTAAATTTTACCTTTTATTTGCAAGGAACAAGTTTAATGCAAACGTTGGTTACCACAGCCCAACTGTTAGTCACAGCTTATTATGTGGCACCTCAAACACGTGTCTCAACCTTCTTCTAATGTCCAGCCTACAATCCACGTGGAAAGATGCTCAGCGAACACTATAGATGATGTTGCCAAACTGTTACGTTGTCCTGCAGTTATGTTGTTTTTGAGGGACTGACCCACCTCCAGTCTGTGTTGGCTCAGGGATCTTTATGCTGTTCCTCAGTTTCTTACTGCACAATGTGTATATGCTGAATGTGAACTAATGGTGAAGGGAATTGTGTGGAAGGAGAAGAGAAGCTCGCTTTAAATAACCTTATTACCTTAAGGTTGTTTAAACCCTAGAGAACAGCCTATAGCAAAAGAGGTAATGTATTTGAAGCAAGATTATGGGTGATGGCTTTGTTTTCACTGGGAAAGAGCAATTATGAGATGAGATAAAGGAGGCTTTCTCAATCCTGAAAGGATTAATAGTCAGAGTGAGCTTTCCAACCTAAGCATCCCCTGCTGTGGATGGAAAGCGATAATGTACAGTAGAAAAGGTGAATTCCTCAATGACTAAATTTTAGGCTGAAAAAATATGATATTGACAATATTTCACTGGTCATAATGAAGATAAACTTACTCTCATTCAGACATCCTTCAGGGGTGAGGAAGCACTGCTTATTGATATACTATTGGTCTAAAGTTTAATCTAAAATACAAGGAACTAGAAACAGGTAAAGAAGGGTGGTTCAGGGGTGACTATCTCATACAGGGGGTAACTTCTTAAATTATTGAGAGATGTAACTGAAGCAATGAATTCCAGAGCTATCTAGGCTGGCTGCTGGAGAAGAAAGACCCTGAGTTGTCTGCAGGAAAGAGATAGACCAAAACCCCTAAAAGGTACAGTAGGTCTTAACACTTCTCTCTTTTTAGTTTTGTGTGTGTTTGTTTGGTGGTGGTTTGTGGATTTGGTTTTTTTAATTAAGATCCCTGCAGGAACTGTGTCCTATGCTGGCTCTTTTTTTTTTTTTTTTTTTTTTTTCCTTCTTCAAATTACCTGTAAGGAAAAAGGCATTTGACCTCCTCTAAATAGACTTGAGGTACTTGTTTATTAACATAAAGAAAAGAGACCATGAAAGGCTGTACAGTGTACATGTGAAGGTAACTGAATCAGGACCTCTGGTAGCAAGCAAGCAAGCAAATGGGAATTTGGTGTTTTTATTTCTCTGCAGATTGAAATAATTGGTATACTCTAATCAAGGAGGTCTCTAGACTATGGTTAGTAGGAGGCCTTTCAATCTGTGATTTAAATTCTTCAGCAAGGTTGCACAGTATTTTGTCTGCCTTTGCCATGCTCTGGTGGGTCCCTCTTAATACATTTGCATTTTAGCCATTTATGTGAGCTAGAGTTGTCCATTTTGGTCCACAGGCAACAAGCAGTTAGTGTTGAAAGGTTTTTACATGCGCTGAAAAGATGTAACTTTTGTTGCCCTTACCCGCAAGTCAAACTGCAGTTTCTGTATCCTGTCTCTCCTGCTCAGCCCCTGCCCGTGTGTACACACATTTGAAGAATGTCCAGCTAACTCCCAAAAGGCAGAGATTTTGGGAAATGCCTGTGACCCCTAATCAGTATGGTCTGTGTGACTCCGTAGGGCAAAGGAGGGAATCCCAAAGAATAGCTTTTTTCTAGAGCAGCATGTATCTGCGTGTCAGTAGTTTCCAACTTTTTATTCTGGATCTGTAGACTCCCAGTGGCAGTGTAGACCCCGCAGTAGTAGATTAAGCCTGCAGATGGTAGACTTGTTTTTCCGTTTACTTTTCACAGGCCCTTTAGGAATAGTCTGTGGGATTTCCCCTGGGAATCTCAAGCCAGGTATGCTGGTCACTGCTCTTGACGTGCTGTAGTCAGAGAAAGGCGAGAGGCTCCTGCAGCAGGTGATTCAGAAGGCAGTTAAACCAACTGCCATCTGGAAGAGAAGGAAAGGAGAAGAAATCTCCTTTGGGAGAAACCAAACATTGGAGGAGAAGGCAGATTAAATGGAGTCCTGAAACAGGTAGGAAACTTGCACCTTGTTCTGTCTCTCATTCTTGCACACCCACTCATATCTTTCTTACTCTTCTGAGTTCATGCCAACATCATAAAAAGCAGGTAAAGCCACATTCCATGTTGTGGAGCTCTGTGGAGATGGAGCAGTCAGAGTATAACAGAGGGAATAAATCCTGAGGGACAAAGATAAAAGGAGGTTTGCTTGAGAGAATAATCTTCAAATATGAGGTGCCTCTATCTGTCACACTTGCAGAATTCTTAACAAGTCATCACAGAACAGCACACAGTCCTGATGCGGTCCTGGACGTGCAATGCAGTAGAAATGTTCCACTTGGAAGACTTCATTGTCCTGTAATAAATTTAAACAATCGACTCCATTACATTGGTAGCACAGTTAACTTCTATAATATCTCCAGCCAGTGCAAGGAGCATCTCAAGAACTTGCTGTCAGCCTGCTGTATTTTTATT